GAACCAAAGCTTTCATACCACTGATGAGAATTTTTAGAGTTTTGTGTATGTGTATTTCTGATATATCATGTGGTATATTGTTTATTCATGTACTCTATGTATATAGAATAAAAATATTACAAAATATCAAATATTAATAATATCTCAATCATAATTGTTTAAATCAAAATAATAACCTAATATCTTTTTATCTTTTTTCTTAAAAGATAATAAAATCTCTTAATACCTAATTTAAATAAAAGATAATAAAGTAATATATTTTCAATAATTTTTTTTTCTTAATTTACACTTGTTTTTATATTTCTTATTAGAGTAAATTGTATTTTAAATAAACAATTATATTAAGACGTCCCATATTCTTGGATTTCGAGACAACTTGGCAATTATTTTATTTTATTTTATTTTTCACTCGTTGTCAATGCAATGTGTTCCTACATGTTTAAGGAAAATTTCAGTTTGTTGTTGTGAACAAAAAAAATGCATATTAGAATTCTTACTTATTATTATCATTATTTATAAATTCTTATTTCTTAGTAAATGTCATATAAATATAATATATTTTTAACTTTAAATTAAATAACAAAGAATATAGATTTAATTATATAAAATTGATTGTTGGTTTTAGTCCTTATCACCTACTATAGTTAATTTAACACTAAAAATAAAAATATTAACTAAAAATTTATTTTATTTTTAAGTTAATAATTTGATTAAGTAAAATGTTTAATATCTTTTTATAAATACAATAATCACATATAAATTCTTTAATTTTAATATATTATGAAAATTAAGTTCTATATTACTCTTAAAAATAATAATTACTTTTTTTATTTATAAAATATTATTTAAATAAAAAATGTACATATAAATTTTTTATAATTAAGATATTATCCTTTTATACTTAAAATTGTTTAATGTTGGTTTTAAATTATGTGTATATAGAAAAAAGAATAATGGTTTTAGAATATATGACAATTTATAATTTTAAAATATAAAAAAATATCCTTTTTGCTTTTAGAGTAAAATATTTGTTTACAACGTATCATAAAATAATTTATTTTACAGTAATTCAAAATTATAAAACAAAATGACAGGTAGAAAATAAATTATAGGCATCTATATAAAATTAATTATCATCATGTATAGAATGGGAGGAGCTACAGGAACAGTGCGTGAAGACATAACAGATGTTCTACATCTTTCTTGTTTGGAGAAGAAGAGGTCTTCCTCTTCAAGGATCTCAAGCATATCGCTTATATTTCCATAAGGGATCTGACTCATATTGGCGATGAATTCCTATCCACGGTCTTTTCCAGATTCAAATCTCATGAAAGGTAAGAATGGAGGTTTGCAAGATCCTCCTTTAAAATCATCATTAATTTGAAATATTATTTGTTATCTTAATTATATATTAGTTAATATATTTCATTTTTTGCATTAAGTTAACTATATAATGTCTAGAAAAAACTAAAAACAATAGAATTATATTTACATAAATTAAAAACATATTTAAACTAAAAGAATACATTAAGATTATGATATTTTATATAGTGAAGGTTTTTTCTTATTATTGAGGATTATGTTTGAATGAAAGTTTAAAAAAATCGAACGTGCTTCTATTTTTATTATTATAATTCTTATATTTAGCTATAAAATTCACGAAATATGAAAAGTTATAATAATGTTTAAAAGTAATGATTTTCTTTTTGTAATATTTGATGTATTGAAATTTGTTATTGTATATTAAAAGTGGAAAAAATTCTTTACAAAAATTATTCTAAACAGACCCTTAATAATAAAAACACTACATTAAAATTGTTCACTTTGTTTCTATTTATTTATTCTATTCACTTATATTATTTACAAATCTATATCACTTTTCTTTTCTATTTTCCCTGGCATTTTCCTCTTTGTGATTTTATAACATTGGCCATGCCATGCTTCCATTCCTTTAGTTTTTATGTAGAGAGGCAGAGTCCCTCTCTGCTTTTTCTCCCAACTTTATTTTCCTTCACTCTGCTTCTTTCCTTTTTCTTTTTTTTAATCTATTATTAACTTAAAAGTGTTGGTAACTTAATTTAGCTTATTTATTATATCAATTTTAATTTTGTTATATTCAATGAGTTAAATAGATAATTTTATTAAACATTTTAATTTTATAAGTTAGTTTATCACCTTTAAACTTTAAACTAATTAGTAACCTTTAACTAATTTATCAACTATTTATTTAAACAAGTTCTAAGTTATCATGTCAATATTTTGTATTACTATGGACTCTTGATTTGGATCATGATTTCAAATTGAGTCCATATATGCTTTAAATCTGGAATATTAAATTGGGTCAAGATTTGGGGTTTATTTTTTACCCAAACAACTCAAACTATTGCTTTTTCTTTTTGGTTACAAGAAAAGATTACCCTTTCCAAAATGAAAGGGGTTTTTCGGTTTTTTATTCCATGATTTCCCTTTTGTTTTATTTTAGTTATGTTTAGATTGTATATATAAAAGTATCAGTTGCAATAATTGGTGCATTAAGCTTGATTCAAAATATCAAGTGCATAATAAAATAATTTTTTGGTAAAATAGGTTATTGGTTTATTATATAATATACGTACTTGTTTTATTCATCATTGATAACACGAAGATTGGTAGTTTTTTCCCTTCTCTAGAACAACGTGTTTATTTGAAACCAATAAACTAATTAAGTTAGAATTAGATAAACTAAGTCAACTATATCTACAATATGTTCCCTCAACAACAATTAGTTTAAGAATGACATTTTATCAAGTCACTGACTCAATTTCTAAAATTTTCCTTTCCATTATAATATGAATTGTTTTATCAAAAAAAAAAAAAAAAATCTAGCAATGAGTTGTTAGGAATAAATTGTTTTAGATTCACTTTTTTTTTCTAAACCATGTGGTTTAAAGAGTGCATGTGACATGACAATTTTGTAAATCTCAAAAATTTAGAACTTCTAAATATATTTTGATATTAGATAACCTTTTTTGGTTATTGCACTAAACTTGTGTTATAACAAGCGCCTCATACGAGAAAACTTGATAATTTCCCAAGTTTTGCTAAACATATTTTCATAAAAGAAACTTATGGTCCTTCTATGGACCAGGAAGAGAACAACTTCAAAATTATAGTAGAATAACAGTTAAGAGAGTATGGACCACCATTATAATTAAGTAGCTAGAAGCTGAATCCAACGGAAAAGACATATATGTCAAAGTATTTGAAAATATGGTGAGACATGACAGAACATGGAGCACAATGATAACGAATAAAGCATTATTATCTTTTCAACATGCATCGCACAAGCTATTAGGACAGCAGAGAGTGAAATCAAACGATAGTACAAAAACCTGATATAGATTGCATTTTAGCCAAATATATGAGAGCAAGAGCATGAACTTAACTGATTATCATAAACACTATCCCGAAACAAGATATATATATCCTTTGGCAACACACAAACACTTTAATATTGCACCTGTATTTCATCATATCATCACTATAACATACTTAAGATTTAACAGCTACTGAATTTGCAGTTCTCTTGTTCATCTTTCAAACTGAGGAATACATGTACATGCATCACAAAGGAGAAAGCTACATCAAGGCTTCAGATATACCTATGGCGTTTCTACTTATATATACATATGTCTACTATAATTTCTTCACACATTCTTCACCTCTCAAATTTTTTCCTCACTTAGGACGAGATGTAATAATGTACACCTTAGAAGGGATCATTTGATGCATTCAAGGGTAATTACTTTTACAAATTATACGTTTCTTTTTTTATCTTAGGTTAGTTAATACATAGATTTAGAAATGTCATTAAAACTGTCTATAATCTTTAGTATGTCATTTATATCTCTCATTTATTATTCCAACATTTCATATATTATTATTTCTCTGCTTTTATAAGGATATAATTGACGTAGTAGTAATCAATATTAATTTAGGATTTTAAAATGACAGGTAATAGAACTAAAAAAATACTTCTGAAAAAGACTGATTATGTTTGCCAACCCTGTTGGCTATTCTCCAATCTATTCCTTCAATCTTGTAGAGTCCAAATTGATTATATTGCTATTTTCATTTAGAGTGTGTTGGAAATTAAAAAGTCTGGACAAACGAACAAGTACATGGATAAACATATTCAATAGGCATTAGAAAAAGAAAATATCAATTAGTAAGTGTAAAATGGAAAGTTGGGTTTCGAATTAACAAATGATATATTTGTGGCTCTTGCTAAGAATTTGTCTGTATTTCTTCAATTTCCAAAATCAAGCAATAATTTTTTTTTAGTTTCATAATGTACTCCTACACAAGCTTATTGATCTGGTTTAATTGCTGAAACAAAGGTAAAGGGGGAATTGAAGAAATGCAGCAAGTTTCATCAACCAAAAATCCTTTTCCAAGAAAACATCATTCAGAGAAATATGTTGTGTGTGCGTGAAGCATATACTTTAATTGCATTAATTACTCTGAGCAATATGCTCTATATCTGCATATATATGTTCCTTTTTCACTCGAACCTAGCTAGAGGTTACTTGTTTAATATATCAGTTACTTCGGGATTACCATTCCCTAGTCTAGTTCATATATATTTTTCTTTTCCAAATATTTTCCAGTATGCAAACCTCTATCTTTTAGGTCAAATTTTAGGATCTTCACCAAGTCCATAAACAAACATAATTTAGTTCATACAAAAACCAAAGTTTTATGTCAAAGATTTTATTATATTCCAATAAATACCAATATTTCACTAGACTAAATAAAACAATACTAGAATATGGATTTTCATTCCAATTATATATATGAACATTTCTAGGTTTCCTAAGGTAATTTATGGCAACAAAAGAAGTGCATGCTTCGGAACACATGTGGCAACAATTCGAAATTGATGAAGTTGTCTTCACCAATTCTTTCATACAGACTCTGATCTTTCAAGAAGCTAATTTTATTATCACCAAAACTCACTCTTACTGAAGGTTATCCAGTTGATAAAAGCTCCACTGCCTTTGCATGTCACAGGACATGGAGTTACAACTCTCTTCGAAGTTAGAAAGTGAGATGCTTTCCTCTACGGTTCCGGAATTTTCATCATTTCCAATAGGGCTTGGGTCCATGAGGGTATCAGTATTTTCATAATACTGTGTTGAAGTATTGGTGGAGAATTTAGGAAGAAATTGTGAAGCCAAGTTAATGGGATTCTCCATCTGGAACCAACTTTGAAGATATTGGGGAAAAGTGGTAGATTTTCCTAAGTATTTCTCATTAGGGCTTTCTATGGCCGAGGCATTGAGATAGATCTGACCCGCTTGTTCCCTGAGAAGAGCTAGTTGTGCTTGTAAATTCACCACCTACAAAGATCAAAGCAAAAAGTGGCATATATTAGTTAACTGGCGGTATAATTACAAATCATCTAGGGTTTCACTCACAAGGTAAGTTATGCTTATGAGAGGGAAATAAACCTGTTGTTGGAGTGCAAAAATATGAGCTACGCAGCCATAAATTGGATCTTGAAGTCTAGCTTGAGCTTCGTAAGAGATTGTGACAGCAGCTTCACAACGGTCACTCACAGGGAGGTGAGCAAGGAGCTTTGAGACATTGCTTGCACCAAAGACCTTATGAATGGCTGCAAAATGGGTGGCACCCTGTTCATGGCAAAAGTAAGGAGCAAAAACACAACCTCTCACACACTTTCTTCTCAAGAATTTGCAGGCTCCACAAGGAGAACCAGAACCAGTCATGTTGGCCTTTTGGTTTGGGAAGGGTTTTGTGGTCTTTAGGGATTTTGGGTTGTTTCTGGGTCTCTTCAGCTTTGTGCAAATCATAATCATTTATCACCATCTTTATATACACCACAGCAAGAGGAAATGGTGGATTAGGGGAAGGAATATTTAATTACATAGGTCCCCTTAATGGCCTACAGTGTTCAGTATTTTTTCCCATATAAAACACTTTCATCCCCTTCTACCGAAATTTTATTTGTCAGTAAAATGAGATTCCATTCAGCATTCTTATACGACAAAAGAGGTAGCATTAACCAAACCCATTTTGTTTGATGATTGGATCTATGTACTCTTGTCCTTTCTTTTCTGAATAAAATGTATCAGTATGCAGTTATTGGACTACTTGTATACTTACTTGACCGTGATAATATGAAATTGGACGAAACATAATTCGATGAGTTATTTAATAGTTGTTTACTGATCAAGAACTCAAATGTTACAACGCTAAAAATGAGTACTAAAAACTTATTAGTCAATTAATGTAGATGCTGACATGATTTCTCTGGACCAAATACATTTGATTTAAACTTGGAAGCAAGAGTTATCTTCCATTCTGCGACAAAAGAAGAATGCCCAACTGTTACCCACACAAATTGTTTACTCGCCACGTTTCTTAATTTATTATTTTACATGTCATATATATGATTGCTGCAATGAACAAAAAGATGGCACTATGAGGAGTGCTATATCAATTTGAATACACATATATTTGATTTTAAATTCACGATCATCTAAAACCACTCAACTCTAAAATCAATTTATTAGATTAATTTTACAAATGTTCACCTTAGCACACATTGTCAAAGTTCAATAATTTATAATGGCTGCACAAACTACCACGGTACTTTTACTGACAAATTTAGCATAAAGAGCAAAGTGAATTGGGATCAACTAAAACTTATGATTATATATTCCAAATACAAGTTTAAACAAATAATTTTCGAAGCACACACTGTCAAAGTTCAGTAATCTGGGGACAAGCTGCATCTTCGGGGTTCTCTAATAAGTTAGGGGGAGATTCTTGTTATGGGAATATCATTGTCCTACAAGTTAATGAAAATGTAAATAGGCCAGAACAGAAAAGATTCTAAAAATGAATGAAACAAAGGGTTGTGACACTGTTGAGATGACATGGAAGCTAATGAAGACAGAGGAAGGGGCGAGGAGATATGATTTGTTTGCCCTTTCCAGACTTGAATTTGTTTAAGACTTGGAAGTCATTGTTTGTCGAGCAATACCCGTATAAATAATTATTCATCATATTATCAAATATTGTACTTGTACTCTTTCAAAACTTTTAAATGAAACACTTTCTTGTGTCGAGTATAGGCACCAACATGTAGGACCATCCCAAATGTGCAAGGGTCCCTCCTTCAATACTAGCTAATAATGACATTCTAACAAAAGTAGCAAAATAAAATAACTTAATCAAATAACTGTAAACAAACATACCACTTGTAAGGGATTATATTCCGTATAAAATCTAGGTCATAACAAAATTATTGCTTACTCTGAGGTTACTTATGCTATATCTCGATCTAGTCAATCACACCAATACTTTTCGTGAGTATATATTCACTAGGAAAATTCAAAGTCTTCTCAAACTTTATTGGGTTATGTTTCTTGATCATGCTTTAGATAAAGAAATTTTTATGTTTGTTTTTCTAGCAAAGAAAGGTGCATCGAACTATAGACATTCTTCTCCATTCAAGTTGATTCAATGAGGGTCCACTTTCTCTTGCTTGGTTTTCCCCCCTCTTTTTCAGTATTTACTGTAATTGATTAAGATCTTTAGCTCCTTGATGTAACTTCATGATATTTTCACAAACTCCAATCTTTGGGGTCGATTATGTCACAAGCAAAGAAATTGTATACTTGTAATTATTAATGTTTTTTTTTTGGGTCTTCACTCAATAATTCAAACTTCTATTAAAACAAATTAAATATTGATAATAATGGGCATGTTTCTTACTCCCAAAGCTTTAATGATCAAGTTGAATTTTAATGTGAAGTGACCGAATGTGAAGTCTTCAAACCCAAATTAATATATACTTTATTTTGAACAACGAAACATTGAAATTATGGACTTAAAAAACAAATAGAGGAAGAAGTTGTTGTGTATTAGTATAAAACATATCTTCTGATAAAAAAGATGAGTATATATATATATATATATATATATATATATATATATATATATATAACTACAACCTGTTTGTATGCACAAACCTGTTTTATTGAATTATAACTACAACCTATGAGTCACCAATGAAGATGAAAGGATTTAATTTTATTTAAACACTTGATATTAAAAGATAAATAAATCATTTGCCTAAACAAATGAACATCTGTATTGAGTTTAAATAAGATTAGTTAAATGAAATTAAGGACCATATTGTCTATTAAGTACTTCTAAATTAATTGTTATATGTTTTGCTTTTCATTTGGTGTAGTTTATACCTAAACTTTTTGGCAATAGGTCTCGCAACGCATATTTATCAGTGTGTTTACTCTGGATTTTATGGTCTTCCCATTTGAAGACACATAAATTCTAAATGATTGATTCAACGCAAAACTTTCCAACTGATTTTCTTGTTTGTTCTTTTTCTCCATCTCACATGATCCAAAGTGGATTACCACGAAACTCATTCATCACACTATTGAGAGACCGTGGAGACAATTATTTATTCAGGTTGTATAATTTATTTTAGAAATAATATTCTATTTAGGTTACTATGGAGATAAACGAAAACCCGAAACAAAGGGGAAAAGAGAAGAAAAAAAATGGAAGGCTGATAAAATGATAAGTTGCCTAATATTTAAAAATAATATTTTTAGCTTTTCATTTCACAATAAAATAGTTGTCTAATATTTTAAAAAAAATGATTATACATGTCAACAAAAACAATGAATAAGCTTACCCTAACATTAATAGAAATGTATATGTTCTAGGTAGTTATAGAGCTTTCTTAGCTAGCATACAACTATGGTGTCCCTTTAGCCTTTTATTGACAGCATTAACAGTTCTCACATTTAGGAGGTAGTGGCATCTTTTCTTGTTTTTGTTTTTTGTTATTACTTCAATGATTCATCGCCTTATAACCCCACTTTCTCCACCATTCGGACCCAATAATCACAGTCATATTTAACCACTTGTGATTACAGATTCACACCTTTTGCTTGTCACTTTAACGTAAAACAACTTTTCTTTTCTTCCTTTTTCTTCTACAAGATTAGATACCTAGAGAATCGAATTGAAATTTACATTAAAGAACCAATTGCTTCTTAAAGCATGTCAAGTCAAACACAGACATGAGTTTAAAAGTGATACATCTCGAGAAGTGGAACAATGTTTGTCTTGAAGTCAAAAAAAGACTTGCAAGAGATTAAAATCAAATTCTCTACGAACAAATATAGCGAATAAAACAAAAATAAACATTTTGTAGAGATTATAATGAGAAATACTTAACCCACCAGACATTTTTTCATGGGAGGTAACCTGCATTGTCATCCTTAAAAAATCCTATTAATAAATAATCTCATTTTTAGAGATAACTTGGATTCACGGATAAAAATAACAACAAAACCAAACTAAATAATGTATTATGTAAATAAATCAAAATAAACTGTTTTTAAAACCGAACTTCAGTGAATTATTATAAGAAAAATTTGAACTAAATAGCTTAGTAAAAATGGTTCAACTTGATCAAACCATTTTATTGGGTTATAAGATTATTTCATTTAAACTGAATATTTTTTAAACAATTCAATTTATTCGGTTTAGTTTTTTTTTTTTTTTTAAAAGAACCCTTTTTTACACACCCTGTATCCACTCACCCTTTTAATACTGCGTGTACGAGTTTGTCGATATTGATTAATTTTCTAAGAAAAGATAGAAAAAAATGTTTCCAAATCTAAATTAATATGTAAAGAGAAGTTGCCACACGGATGCAGGTGCATATACATACGTGTATATATAAGTATTTAGTTGACACATAATGCCCCACCACGACCACATATTTTTTTTTAGATGATGTTAAATTCAGACAAAACCTAGTGCATGTTCTACAAAAATTGTGAGGGTGTTTTCATCTTTTGAGTGTATGTATGTATATAAAAATGTAGAACCTCTATTAGAGGTTTTAGTTATTGTGGCAGTAACTGGAAAGGAAGAGAATGGAAACACTTTACAGGAGAAGATGTTGTCCAACTAATGTGCTTGCTGGAAGAAGAATCCTGTTCTCCAACCATTCTTTCGCACTCCATTAGATGATGTAATTCTTTATACGCAATTCCCAATATTCCTTTTTAGAATGTTTTCTATCTTTTAATTTGTCCACCACAGTTGGTTCTTTTTTCTCTCTTCTGTCACAGATCAGCAAAACCCAAGAGTGCATGCACAAAGGGGACAAATGCCAATTATATTCACCTTTTTATGTAAATTGTTTATTGCTTGCATCTGTGCAAGTTCAGTGCTCTTCATTCCCACATCTGTTTGACAATTTCTTATTCTGTTCTTTGCTGTAAGCCCGCTTATCTGATATTCACTTCATACAACTATATATATATTGTTCTTCAATTATTAGTAATTATAAAAATGTCCTTTCAAACCAGGATATTACATCACTCAACCATTGTCATATTTTACAACCCTTAACAATCTACTGTGAAACTTCACTCCAACTTCATAATAGACTTCAAAGCATCTGAGATATATGATTATATTGATATAGATATGCTATAAAAATTTCAATGATAATTTAGATTTATAGTAATCGTAAATAAATTTCTACATTGATATTTGTATTTTGTTTTTCTCTTTATATATTTTCATCAAACCATGCATATCTTTATAAGTTTTCAATAATTTATATGCTTGAAAAACGACATGACAACGAGTAAAGACAAAAGTAAGCTGATGTGGTGCACGTGCATAATAAGACACACTTTACCTAATTTCTTACTTAATAATTGAATTCCCGCAACAATAATTCCATCCACTTTTTTCTTTCTTTGTGAATTAGAAATATTGTGATATTGATGAATATATTGTTTTAAGAAAACACTTATGTTGTGATTTTTTGTGAGAAGAAATGTAGGAGGGTAAACTTTTAAAATGAAATGTATTGTGATAAAAAAAAAAATTACCATGAACATAAATGTGGATCTATACTTAATTATAATTTTATTTTAGCAAACACCTAAATATGTAAGTTGTTAGTTTTGGACCATTTCGTTACCAATAAAAATTGGTATTTTATATTTTTTACTAATAAATAACAAATCCAACTCCACACGAATGGAGCTACTATTTTTCTTTGATTTGTTTAGTGGGGTCCACACCAGCCAATGTCCTCGTCACCACCAATCTTATACTATAGTGTTTCCTGCGGCTTTACAAAAAAATATATGCTTGAAGAACAATTCTTGGAGTATAAAGAAACTTAAGTGCACGCATATGGATAAATAAAACAAACCTTGTAAGTGTTCATAACTTAGAATAATAACAAAACGTTAAAACAAGAGTCACAGGTCCAATTCTTCAACACAAATCAACCAAATCGGAGATGAATTTAGAAACTGAAGTTTCAGAAGAAATATCCAACCTTTATGTCAATATTCTTCTCTCTAAACAAATAATTTCCAGCTCTGAAAAAATTACATGTATAAACTAAATGCAAGTTTAGTGATTTCAAATATGTTATGAAAATTGAGCTTTGTAATCTTTAATTTAAGTGTGCTAGATTCAAACTTATGCATGTCGTCCTATAGGTTCCTCAATTATAACAATTTGAAGGTCTATTCAAAGTCTTCAAATATGGATCTAACTTCCACTGTTGAGTCCCTCCTCATTATTAATCCTGTATCATCAAATTATGCTTATACCATGATTCTGGAATCTAAAGACAAGATCCGTATCATGAAAGTAGTAGTATTAGTTATGCAATCTTCACTTGATATCACAAATAACTGTGTTGATAGGTAACAACTGAGACCAATATAGGATTCAACAAAAATCCTTTTCAATTCTTGCTAACCAAAGACAAGTATATATATATATATATATATATATATATATATATATATATATATATATATATATTGGGTGACCTATCTTATTTTAAATTTATATATCATAATCGAGAATCAAAGAATTTTAAATGGATTGATACATACGACGTGACAAATAATTTAGAATTATTTCTTAAAAAAGATCAGATCCAGAACAAGAAGTCAAGGTCCATCTAGAAAGAAACAACATTGTCTGATCTGAGGATTAGACACACATTAATTCAATCATATAAGCATTCTTAGAAAAGTTATGAAAATTGTCTGTTTTGCAATCTGCAGGAAATCACAGGCCAGGGAAATCAAAAGGACATGGTGTATGAACAAAGGATGATGATGGCAAGTGTAGCAAGACCAGTCAAATTAAACCAACCCCAAGCGTTTAATATGGGGCCATGATAGCCAAATATCTATGCATATATTTAATCAATTAGGGTGATCCTCTTATCCTGCACTATAATTAATGTTCTTTCATAAAAATATAAATTCATAGAATAATATGCAACATGTTGAGTGCAACTTTTAAATTATCTTATAAACTATTTAGTCAATATAGCTAAAAACAATCCATAATGATGCAACCCAAACTCTTTCTGATAACAACAACTGCAAAAGAACACGATGTTGCTTAATGATTGAGACACATTTGCAGAAAGCTTGATTTAAAAAAAATATATATATGTAAGCACAGGATATACAATGTAGCTAGTTTTCAGTACAATCAAAGACTAGTTTATTCAGGAGTGACTTTATCATTTGAAAATGTAGTTTGAACAGGGAGCAGTTGTTCAAAACCGAGCCATGATATAGGGACTGGTTTAGTGTATTAATTCACATAAATTGCGAGAGCAAATGGCTTGGTTGTCCATCATTTGAATTTCAAAAGGTTTTTAACCATTGACAGGGATGGGGTTTGTCTTTGTTGGAATTGTTGTTTTGCGTTAACTGTTAAAGTGATGAGAAATTTGCATGACTGCTGATAAAACACTAGTGGAGAGTAGAGACAACCTGGAATTCTTCAATATGTAGTTTCGAGGCTCAAGTTAACCTAATTTGGTTGGGAAAATGACTGAAATGATTGACAATATATGATATGCGTGCGTACGTGAAGGAGAAGGGTTGGTCCTACAAATTTTTCCTGCCTAGTATCTACGTGACAGAAAATTAGAATAAAATTACATGTACTCTCACCATTCAAATATTACAAGAATATAAAAAATATATTTGGAAACATTTTTTCATATAAAATTATATATCTTAATTTTCATTTTGGTGACTTGAATCTTAACCATTATAACTTTATAAGTCCCACCAAATATTCGCATAATATATTCCTGCGTGATGTCTGTTGTTGGTCTAATTAAAGATATAAAGTTTATTGAAATTATAAATATTTAATAGTATTTTATTGTGAGTGTATAGGGAATAGAAAGAAAAATGAGGTATATATTAAAAAAATAATTAAATGAGGAATTATCTATAGAAATCGATAAAAAGAGAGTGAAGAATATGAGGGGAAATGTCCAGTCCAATCAACACTAAAATTATTAATAATTTAATTTAAATATAATGAATTTATAAATTTAACAACATGGATTTCAATTTACGAAAAAAATTACATTTTTATATTTTCAAAAATCATGAAGTTTAATTAAATTTTAAAAACATATTATATTTTTTAAATTAAGAAACTTAATTCAATATTTTATTAATGAAGTGACCAAATAAAATAATAAATATTTCCTTTATTTTTAATAATTTGTTATTTAAGGTATAAATATATAAATCAAGATAAATATTAATTTTTAATATATTTAATAAATTTGATAGGTTTTTTATAATAATAATAAAATATCAATAATTTTTATACATATACTTAATTAAATATATTTTTTATAATAATATTTTTCAAGTTTTATTTGAAATGCACGAAAAAAAATTTGATAGAGAAGGATGTTTCCTTCCTCTGTTCGCAGCCTTCTTTAAAAACATTAATTCGTTTTTGATCTTGTTAAATAATGTAGAAAATCACTTCTTCTTTTTTCATTCTCTTATCTAAAACTAAACATTTTTTTTTTACTGAAACGGTATTGTTTCCAGAATTTTGGGTACCTTTCGAAAAGTTTTTAAAAACGTCAATTCAAAAAAATAAAATTGTATTGATTTTTTCTGATCTAGAATTAGTTTTTTTTTTTTAAATGGCTTGACTTTAAAAAAACAATTAGAAGCGTTTTAAAATCAATTTTTCAGAATACTTGGAGGAAACTTATTTTTAATTGTTTTCAAAATAGTTATAGAACTATTAATGTAAAAAAAAAAAAAATCAACTTTTCAGAATCTAGTTACAATGAGAATAATATTGGTTCCGACAATAATGTCGTATTTGGTTTATGATTGTGGATTAGTCCATTCTAAACAATATTTGTTTAAAATAATACCTGCAAACAACCCATTAAATATTATATTATATTATAATCAATATTTTTGTAAAAAATATAAATTATATATTTTTTCGATAAATATTTATTTTAATATAAAATAATGCAGTGTATGTGAAAATTAATTATAATATCTTTATATTTTTTTTCTGCAATGGTGAAGATAGAACAAAACTTCATCTCTACCATCCTATTTGATTTCATCTTTCTTCTAAGATTAAATATTATGTCAGTTTGATCACCACTAATTATACTTCTTGTTTATTTCTGAATTGTGATTCTGGATTGTTGCTTGGGACCTTTTTCTCAATTCTAATGAACGTTTTCTTCAACAAATTAACCTAAACATAAAAGGTTTCTCTGAATTAAATAATCACTTAGTGCTACTGTTATTCAATTGGGTAACAATTAAAAAAAATTGTAATATTTCTTAAGTTTGAATTGGCATACTCCTAATTTAGTAAACTTTGAGAAATTCTTAAATTCTAAAAGCAAATATTTTGTGTCATTTAACATGTACTGTGTGGGTAATTAATTTTTATATCTCGGATAACGTTTTTCAGAATGATGCATGAAATTAGTTAAAGCTAATTAATTGTGTGGGGAAAGTTTGTAAGAGGTGTTTTATTTTTCTTCCTTTTCATGGTGTTGGTTTCAATATTTTTAACCTTATTTGATGATAAGTGATGACAATTTGCAGTGTTTTGTTGGTGTCACGTCTATTTGTCATTCAGGGCTCTCCATTTAATTTTAAATGAAATTATATGTCATTAAAATATAAGAAATTATCCCAAAAAAATGTAGACAATTTGATTATGCACAATTATTTAACACATTCACAAATTATAAATAGCTATTATATTCAAATAAAATAATGGTTAAAAGATTTTTTTTTCAAGTGGTTAGATTAATATCATTTGATAATAAATTAATCTATTAATGTAGATAATACATTATTATTTTTAGATGATAAAAGGATCGATTCCTATATCTAATACTTTACGTCATAGTTTGAATTAAACTAGTCTGCTTTTTATATATGTTTATATATTTTTAATGATATGAATGAATTTTAAATTTTTATTAATTAATTAATATTTATAATTTTAAATTATAATATTATAATATATTTACATATTTTAATAATATTAATTAATAAATAAAGATAAAAACGAATTGATAACTTAAAACTATTAAGTGGTCCACTGTTTTCACATACCTAATTATTCTATTAGATAGATAGTTATATATGATAAAAATATAATGTTTATAAAAATACTTTAAGAGTCATTTAAATTATTAATAATAACTATTTACATTAACAATTCATTGAAAAAAAAATTATTATATTAATGGGAATTTTTTTTATTTTTTTAAGAATTGGGCCACTTCCAATTAAGTGTTACAGATAAATCATTTCACCAAACAAACAACACATTAATGTAAACCCGTTGCAGCTGCGCATGAATACTCTTTATTTTTAACAGTAATAAACCATGTTTAAACTCGGTTTAAAATAAACTAATAAATGCGGCCCATTGGGCCACGTGTGTCATTAATTGAGCCCATCACCGCCGAAAGATTTGCCCGTTTCACTCTTTTTTTTTTCCAAATCGAAAAGACTATATCACCCCTCCTTCAACTTTTTTCAATTTTCGCTTCGCTCCCTCTTTCTCTTTCTCTTTTGTTTGTCGCTCTGACCGGGAAAAGAAAAGTAAAACCAGCTTTCTTCGCGCACCCTAGATTTCCTCTCTCTTTCCTCTTCCTCTCTCTAAAATCTCAATGGCGTTCTCTTCGTTTCTCGGCAGAGTCCTCTTTGCCTCCGTTTTTATCCTCTCTGCATACCAAGAGTTAGTAGATATTCCTCGCTGATCTTTTTCCTCGCACTTCGAATTATGCATGTTCGTTAATTTTTGTTGTTGCAGTAATTTTATTTTTTTTTTTAACTTTTTTTTTTTCAATTTCTGCTGCGTTGCTTGTTGTGGTAGTTTCTCTGTTTGGATCTGTTACGTTCAATTGACCCGTCAAAACGATTCAGCAGATCTGTGTTTCTCACCGTTCAAGTGCATAGAACCATTTTTTTTTTTTGCTTTTTAGATTTTTTTTTTGTCATTCTATTGTGAATCGTAGTGTCAGATATGTTATATGCGCGCATCCATTTCCTTGGTATGTTAGTTGGACTTTCTTGCATCAATTGCATTTATTGATTTGCAATTGCTATCACTGTAGTGTAGTTACCAGCTTTAATGATTGCCGGTGTGGTTATAGAATCGTTTTTTACATTAACGGTTTCGGGTTTTGTCAATCTAACTTTGGGTAGTTTATGAATGAGTTTGACCAAGTGTTGTTGTTACCACTTAGCAATTAATAAGTAGTGTGGGCGCGAGGTACTTTTTGCTGGTCGTTAAGTAACTTTTGTGTTATATTATAGACTGGGGGGTATTTCACTCTCTATCTTTTAGTGTATAACGTGTTGCTTTGAAACTGGGAAATTATTGCGGAAAAAATTTTAGATGAAGGTCAGTCAATTTTCAGTTTTCGTGAAAAAAAAAAAGAAAAAAACTCATCCCTGCTTCTTAGTATTAAGCATTCAAACAAACTTCTCAATAAACACTCGTTGAGAAATAATATAAGATGAAACTTTTATCCTAAATTAAAAAATAGTTTAATGCATAATTTATTTTATAGCACTCCCTTTTAGTTTCTTCAAAAACTAATTTAACCAATGAGATAAACTTAATTTGTTTTACCATCTTATTTTCTTTGCCTACAAGTATTTTTTTTAAGTTAAATCTAAACAGGACCCATGTCAAAAATGACTATTTGTTGGGCGTGGAGGTATATTGGTATATAAAAATCTGGTCTTCTATAGTTAATCCTTGCTCCTATCTTGTTCCCTGCTTGTAGGGGGCAAGGTGATGGTGATATTTATCTTGTATCAAGTCATGGTTCCAGCTGAGAGCAATTGCATGTCTTTGTTTTGGGCTTAAGGCATAGATTGAGGGAAACAAATCTGTAATTTTTATTACACACTATTAAACTGACTGAATTTCTGATTCTTGTTGCTAATGACCTATAACCTTATGATTTAAGTGGAATTATGCTCCTCCTTTCTTTTTTTATGCTTTCCCATGTTTTAATTCCTATTATAAAATGATCGCTCGTATTCAGTAATAAGCTGATTATAGGTTTATTAGCTATATTTTTGGGCAAGTTGATAGTGTTCACTGTTTACATTTACTCAGATTAGAAACTAAAAATTATTTCAATTTGAGATTTTGATTCTGGAAGCACAGAGCACTTAATCGTTACTTGTTTTTATTTTATTTGTATGGTATTTCTGTATTTCTTTATTTATCCTCACTTCCTTCATATACTTCTACAGATTTAATGCTTATGGAGTTGACGGGGGACCCGCAGCTAAAGCACTTAGACCGAAGTTTGATGCATTTGCACATCAAGTACATTCTAATGTTGGGTTTCAACTTCCAGATATTGATGTTAGTTTCTCTCTCTCTCTCTTTATCATTTAAGGAAAGCATGATTAAAATTTAAAACACAACTAAACAGATGAACAAGTCCTTTGGTAGGAACAAGATAAGGACAGGTGGTTAAATTTAACAAGAGTGTGACACGGATTTGAACGCTGCTTGTAGATGCATGCATTTATCTGTCATTAAGTGTATGTCGTCTAATATCTATTTAAGGGTTGATGAAACATATACCTTGGTATTTAATAGTGTTTTTCTCTTTGTATCTGCATGCGTTTAAATAAAACTGCCATTTTATGGTGAACAAAAAATTAACTTGTATAGGGCTTCTCATTATGGCTCGGACTTAGTATTGCTGGGCTGCTTGCAGCACATATCCAATTTTGAGTTCGCAACAGGCCAAAGGATTGTGTTGTGGCTGTGTTGGACATGAATCATAAATATAAACAGAAAAATAGTTTAAAAAATTGGATAAATGTTCTAAAAAAAGGTACGGGTGCACGCAGGAGGCGGGGAAGTTATGGAATGGTACTGGAAAATAATTGAACTTTCTTGCATTGTTGTAGCTGTCATGCATCTGTGAATCGTTATATCAAACGTGTTCCCTACTACATCCAATCAAGTGCTCTCTTTAGTATACATATAGTGTTACTTTGTTTGTAGCACATGTATTTATATGATTGATGTAATTAACAGATGAAGATTTTAGTTGCTGGGGCTATTGCTCTCAAGGGCATTGGAGGAATTCTTTTCATACTTGGCAGCTCATTTGGAGCTTTCCTTTTGGTTTGTAGCTTGACTTTTCTCTAAGAAATTGAAATTGGCTTTTCAAGTGCTCAATTTTTGAAGCCTTGGTTATTTTCTTCTTGTAGCTTTTGCATCAAATGATTACCACTCCGATACTATATGATTTCTACAATTATGACAGCGAGGACAAAGAATTTATTCAACTTTTCATCAAATTTACTCAGGTTAGAGCAGTGTTCCTTTAAAAAAGAAACATGATGAAGTGCTCAAACTAGAGCTGTAGAGTATCATATTGTTGTTGCAATTTATCAAATATTGTTCTCCTTGCAGAATATGGCCCTCTTCGGGGCTTTGTTGTTTTTCATTGGGATGAAAAACTCCATTCCTAGAAGGCAATCCAAGAAGAAGGCTCCTAAAACAAAAACCTACTAGTTGCAAGGAGTTCTTGGATTGTTCCTGGTCGCTTGTTACGGCCCTTTTCCAATTCCAGGATTTGATTTAGGTGTATCATCCGTCATGGATTATATTTAATTTATAATTATTTATATATGTATGTTATTTTTTGTTTTGCTTGACATTATTAGGAAACCGTCTTTCGATAACTTGTATACGAAGAGGGAAAAAATTATCAGAGCCTGTTCATTCAGACTTTGATACCAATTTCGATATCTACCGGATTTGATCGAAAGGTAAAATCTAGCAGTTGCTATTGAACTAAGCTTGATTTCTAGTCCTTGGCAAATGGATTTGGGTTTCCTATTTTTGATTTATTTGGTTCTCTTCCTGGTTTTTGGTAAGGAAATGTATGCTCATTTGAATTTTTCACCTGATGTGGATGGTTAAACATAGAGAAGACGACGACCTTCAAGGAGGCACCACATAATTGATTGGATATTAGGGGGACTTCGTTGAGATAAACTTTTCAATAAAAGAAAATAAGATGATTAACCTTCTCCTGTATTAAATTTTGATAGATTTCAAATAAAAAACCATTCACATTAGGGAAAGTGATCAATAAATATAAGTTATATTCAGAAAATTAAGGTAGATGATGAGATTTTTTTTTTAATATCTTAATTAAAGATGGTTGAGATAAATGATGAGATTTTTCTAAAATTTATTTTTGAAAAATTGAGATAAGCAATACAGTATTTATTTCTAGTATCTTAATTAAGGACAGTTAAAATAAATAATGAGATTTTCTTAAATATCTTCTTTTAATGAAGAAGATTTTAATATCAAGTTAAATTTTATTTTAAAATTAATTAATATTAAATAAAGTGATTAATAAATATATGTAAATTATATTTAGATAATTAAAATACATATGCGAATTTTATAATTTTTAATAAGATGATTATGAATTTTTAATATATTTCTAAAATAATTACACTTTATGTTATAGAGAAAAAAAAGTTAATTTATTTAACATATTGAATTTTTAAAGAATTTAGAGAAATTTATTTAAAGATATCTATTTCATATTTTGAATAAGATCTATTTCCACTTATATTTTTCATGGAAAATCAAATATGGTAATATTCAATTTTCCTGGCTTAGTATTGATTAGAGAATATTGCTGATGGCTTTTGGGGTGACAAGTTGCTTGGTAATCTTCAATTTTTCTTCCTCCAGTCTCAATTAGATTATGAAAATCCAACCTGTTTATGTGTCGTGTCGCATTCTTCCATGAACGTCAACTTCTCACACCTTTCTTGAATAGCTGACTTCCACATTACTATACACAGTTCGAGAGGGATGAAAGGTAGCCACGTCACAAACGAGGAATGATAATATAAGAGATAGAGGCGAAATCGAATTTTAAGAGTGTGGTTAGAAAGAAAGAAAAAATTTAAAAATACAATAACTTTTTTTTAATTTATTTAAAATTATTAATCGATATAATTGAGTACGATAATCCATCTACTTTTATTATATGCTTTTCTATAATTTGTAAACAAAAAGTATATAATTAGTTGTCTTTATTATATATTATATTTAGAAAGCGAATTGGAAAAAATATATTTTTCATGTTTGGATAAAAATAATATTTTAGAAAAAACCTGTTTAAAAAGTATTTTTTAGTTATGTTTTTTATAAATTATTCATATGAAAATTTAACTTTTCTGTCTTAACAAAATTCTTAGTGGTAAAAATATTATTTCGTATGATGAAAAAAAAATAGTAATTTAATATTTTACACAGTAAAACTTTTTTAACACCGAATTTTTTCTTTTAGAAATATTAAAATTTCTGTTTTAATTAAGGTGGAATTCACCCGAGCTTAATCATGAATTTTAAGTTTGAAAACAAAATCACTTAGCTTGGTTTTTATTTAATCCAGCAAAATGTAATGCTCAGAGTGAGCACTTCAACCCTAGCCACCGGAAAACCAATCACATTTCACTTGTGGCAGATCTCAGTCACCAAGAATAGTAAGAGAACAAGAATGCCACCTCCACTTGACAAATTGTGATTTTCTTGCATTTTTCTTTCTTACCACATTTTAACTGATTATTAACACCATAGCAACTTCAACCTTGCTGGTAGCAAGTTAATGTACGCAGTAAATAAAAGAGAAGTCTGAGACATGAAAAGGGTGACATTAATATATGTTGAACGAATTGTGCTATTTTCAAGGTCAAACATAAACTACGACAATCACACATTTCCATAATTAAACAAAAAAAAAAAACACCACCACAATCTGTCTTATAACACTATAATAAAGGTGAGCATCATTTGATTTTCAGAGATTAAGAATGTGTTACAAAATGAGGGGCACCTAAGTTTCCAAGAACCGTTCAGTTATTGTGAATACACCGTGCTCTTGGATTGCAGTATTTGAACAAGCGGCCACAAGATATCCAATCTGTGTACATGTCTGTTGTTTTGACCCTGTCATACACACTTAACTCATCAACAACAATGAATGGAGTTCAAGTATTTGGTTTTTAATTCGTGTTTTGTGTTGCTTTTGTCCTTTAAAAGTACATATCTATGCACATTGGTCCCAGAAACATTAAGTTGTTAATTTACAAATAACATTAAAACTTTCAAAAACTAAAGCAATGCAAGTTGTTACTTTCATGACCCAAATTGTTTATCAACTTGCTTTGTATAAAGAAGACTTACAGTTATAACTAAAAAACAATGCAAATTTCTACTCAATTCTCTTATTCAAGGAATGCATATGGCTTATATAAAGTTGCCATAGAAGTTGAGTTATTTATCAAATAAACTGTTCTAGTCCTAAAGCTATGAATTATGATATTTCAACAGCTTCAATCAGCATAGTTTTTGTAATAATTAAAATTATGAACTAGGTAGACTTATTGAATAAGCTTACATAATATTGTGACATTTACACAGGAACAAGATGTATAAATAAGAATAAATATCATAATTAAGAAAATGTTAGACAAAAATCTACTAAAATGTTTCAATTGTAAAGATATATATTTTATCCAATCAAATAGAATAAAATTAGGACCAAGACTGAGTTAGTTGAATAATTAAATTTAAGTATGCAATGTGCTAGAAGATAAAGGCAGCTTAATTTATCACAGAAGAATATTGGACCTAATTTTAAAGGTTGCTAATGAAATTTTCTTGCCACTCCATGTATTTGATTTCATGTTTTCAACTATGAATTAATCTAGTATGCAAAGATTTTTTTTTTCTATATATTCAATTAACTTATAGACCAAGATTCCAGAAATTTTATGTCAGTACTTCAGTCTTGTAGAAAAGAAGGCTTAATTGTATAAAAAGTAAAACAAACTTTAGAGTTTTAAAATCACCTCGACAACAAAGCATATCCATATCTTTTCACCATGAACTTTAGTTCCACCCTTCAAAATGGTAAGACCCAAACTTCTTATGGATTCTGCTATTTCAAGAAAATGGCTGCACTCCTCACAGAGCATCTACAGCACAAGGTATAATTAGAATAGAGAGCATATTCAACGGCAGATTATATTCACAACAGAGTAGTATCTTAGACCCTTAAGCTAAGTGCCACTGACCTCCATTTCTCATCAGGAGTTTTCTCATGAATTATAATTATCAATTAATCACAATCAAATTGTAGCTTTCAAGTCATACGTACCTCAACAAGCATCTGTCCATTCTTGCTAAGATTCTCCACTAATATTGAATGAACTTTCAGGTGACCCCCTACCTCCATTGCCCAGCTTGAGCCCTGCTCATAACTAGAGGATCCAATAATGTCTGCTTCCATGTGATGCAGCTGCAAAATTGCATCAGTGTTAAACAATGGAGATAAGTTCAAATACAGAAGATGTCGGAACTAAATCAAGAAAAGCAAGAAAATGCTGATGTATGCACATCTTCATGTTCAAATATCAACCTCTACTTGACCATAAATATATATATACATATAGCATACGATAGGACAGATTTCTAAAACACCATTAAACCTTACCTTTGACTTTGTATCACCAAAGTCAGTTAGCTTGTCAGCATGTTTAGTTATGCTTTGGAGAAAGAGCATGTGCTTTATTGCACGCTCCAGTAGTGAATCAATACTGCACTGTTGAATTACATTGAAAATTTTAGCCACATGAACCAGACCTGCGATCATTACTCAAAACCCAACAAAACGAAGAGGAAACAGATTCCAGCATGATACCTTTGCTCCATTTGGCACCAGCTCCCTCAATTCCTTAATTCGATCTTGGATTAATTGCCTGTCCCTTGGCCGAGGCCTACAACTTTCCCCGGGCCTGGCCCTCTTTTTGCTGTTCTTAGATGGTTCAGACGACCTTTCAAGTTGTCCACTACTTGAACTAGGGAATGCAGATGAAACACCTTTTGAGGACATCACACCACATATCCCTGATGATGAACTCAAAGAATGGTGTTTGTCCTCTTTGACAAGAGAGAGCTGATCTATTGAATAGCCTTCTGAATTAATAGCATGCGCATTGTGAATAGAAGCTTCATGATTTTTTCCAGAGGCCAATGCAGATTGCATTGATGTACAAAATGATAATTCACTATTAACATCATTGTTATTACTATGGCAAATGTTGGCCACCATTGCTTCCAAAAGATGTTCTGGACGAGATTCAGAAGTCAGTTGGCTAGTGCTAATCTCATCTGACATTTCAACAGTTTTCATATCTTGATTAACCTGTGCTGGCCAATCAAAGCATTTACTCCCTTTCAGAAAAGATGGTCCAAGCGCTTCATGTAGCTCACAGCCAGCAGGGAAATTCAACACATGTGACATATCCTTGTAAGAAGGCTCAGTATGAAACTTTGACTTTTCAGCATGTTGTTGTGAGTTTGCATCGGAAGGTTGGGTGAAATTTAACACCCCTTTTTGGTTAATATCCACTAAATGCAACTTATCACTTTCACAAACAACTGTATCAAGAAAAGCTGAAGGAAAGCATGCAGAATCAACAATGACTTTTTCTGATGGACATATTAAATTATTATCTGTAACAAAGTCACTTAAAAATGCCGACATATTGTTTTCTGATTCCAACCTCAAATCTTTGCAGCCACTACTTCCTTCTTCACACTTCCTCCCATAGAGAGGTTTCATCTCTTCAAATTTATGATGCTCCACATTCATCATATTGGATATTGACTGTAGCAAATTGGAACTTTCATCACTGTACAATTCAGGCCCCTCTTGCTTGGCCACATTATCAGACATATTCCCACAAGCTGAATGAGGTGCATAGTTCCTCCCAGAACATTGAAGAGGCATTAAAACATCCGCTGTTTCACTCTTCATAGATTTCTGTGTATCGTAAAAGCCACTAGGCATAACATCTGAAGACAAATTTTCCTTCAATATATCCAGCTGAAAAAAACAATATAAACCTCATAATAATTATCAACAGATTAAAGTTAAAAAATAATTATGACACAGTTCCACTTTTCTATATTATTAGTGTTTAAAAATCCATGCTAACAGTCACACAAACCCCTTTACCCCCTCAAATCTTCACATTCATGCAACCATACAGACATGTGAATATAGATAGAAGTGATGACAAAAGCTTACCTGAGATAAAGAACTCTTCAAACTACCCTGTATTGGACTAGGACATTGGCCTATTGAGTAATTTTGAGTAGACAAAAAAAGATTTCTGACATGAGTTACAAACCCCATATCTTCAATCACCTGCTACCAAAGATGTCAAAAGGGAAGAAAAATATTAAAAATAAATCAATAATAAGTGAATTTCCATATAAATCATATCCAGAAAATATTCTATAAACCATCAAAATCATAGAACAGCCCAAGACAAGACAAGAAAATTCTAATATTATAGACGGGAAACTATATTGTGCACATGCCCCTAATAAAAACTACTCAGAGCATTTTCCCAACCCCGCAACCCCATGGCATGGACTTTCCAATGTGCTCAGTACATAAATTATAAATCATTATCATCATAAATTACTATATTATTTACATTTACATAAAGAAATAAAACTATCATTCTCATTACTTTTTAAAAACAATTCATAAAGAACAATTTCACTATTTGGTTCATGAAGATACAAAGTTTCTATGTCTCTATATACTCATATTTACATGTTTCTTATAGTTTTATTAGATACAAATGTTTTTAAAAGAATGGATACTTCAACATGTATCCAAAAGAATCGGTATCAAATGTTAAATAAATAAAAATATTGGTGCTTCATAGGTTCATATACATCATTGATATGTATTGGTGAAATATCCTAGAGTATCAGTATTGGATAAAAACCGGATGTAGATACATGAAACAAATTAAAGTATAGGTGTTTCATGACTTGCAGCATTTGAGTAGATAACTGCTTCTCATCAATAACCAAGGTCAGGGTCATAATTAACATAATTGTCCACAGTACCGAAAATGCCTAGATCTGGTTTTCATGCCAAATCATCTAGTTTGAGTAGGTAATTTAGTAAATAATAAACTAGTATACCAGTGGCCTGACATAATTACATGATACCTATGTTCTATTATCACAAAACAAGGGGTGAGTTGTTAGCAACCTTTCCTCCATTTCTCTTTATTGTTCACTATATATTTATATTTACCTGGCACATACAATTAGAATTATAAAAGTATTTAACCAATATCTCAATCAACAACCAGAAACTACCAAAATTAGTTGGAAAAGAACTGAAAATATATAAGCAAGCCATGCTATCTGACTAGTTATGGTACATCCAAACAAAGGAGTGGAAATATATCCTTTTGGTACTTTAGTGGCAGTGAAGTTTGAACCTATGATTGCTTGCAAATTATCCAAGCCTCTTGCCACTAGTCCCAATCTTTAAGACTTGAGTGGAAAAAAAAATTGAAATCCTGAATACAAAGCCTGCTTAGCAGAGCCATACAGATATGATAGATGCCTTGTTGAACCATATAACTACACTATCCACTAGTATGGTACTGAAACAAACCAAATAACGGTTAAAAAGAAAAAATTGTCTTACTTTATTAAGCGAGCCAAGCTGAACAACACCAAGTGGGGCTATGGAAACAACAGCAATAGTCTACAAGATAAAATAAAAGCTTTAATAATGAAAAACCTTAATGCAACCAAAGTACAGTGGTGCAGACAAGGAAATTAATTTCAAAAAGATAATCACTATCTTTCTAACAAAGTATACTAGATCAGAATGCAACACAGTCCTATTGCAGTGCAGTTCAGTTGCATGTAGCGAATTAAAATAATGGGCCAGAGTCCTATAGTGGCCCAATAATTTGACATATTATGTCTATTCTCATATTAACCACAGTTTTCCAAATATAGTATTAAACTTAATTTGTCCATCTCCTTAGCATTCGAAAAGTATGGAAGATCTAATTTCTGGTGAAAATAGAAAGTTCACTTTTCCAGATTTTAGCTAAACACATACGTTGTGAAGCTGTGAAAAACTAATAGAGCAGTTAGCATACCCTGATTCCAGCAGAAAACTGAGACTGCCACCCATCAGCAAACTGAAAATTAAACCAAAAAGTGGGAAAAGAATAAGAATAATCGGAACATATTGACATGATACTTCAAGGTTGTAAGTAAGATCCTCAATGATGACAGTAAATAACAAGAATCCTCACCTCAAAAGACAAGCCAGAACCTGCAACTTGATTATCTGCACAGATCCACCTATGTTTTCCCGTAACAGCTACCTGTCCAACAATACTGTAAAGAAAAAAATCTTAGGACGAGCTAAACAAACAGAAAATCAAATTGCGTATAGTATCAATTCTATATTTAATTAATCATACCCTTCTCCCAATGAATATGCATGATATGACATCTTAGCCACTGCTAAGCCTAATGCGCTGTGTGAAAATTTCCCACAACCAATCTGTTCCAATATCTTTTGGCAGTGCTTATTTTCTGAAGAGTCATAATCATCAGAATTGTTATAGTATGCATCCTCCCATGTCAAGATCCTGCAAGCAAATACCATATTGAGAAAATTTAGGGGACGCCTTTATGCAATTCAAGTTCAACACTGATAAATAAATCTGTAACCAAAAAAATGAATCAATAGCAAGGAACATTACTATTGGAGATTCTACATTAACTAGATATATGGCCAAATTATAATATATAAGGGAGAAAACCTCACCTTACATGTTATTTGTAAGGTTTAACTAGGCCTAAACCCACTTTTTCATTTGTTATCAAAGCCTATTTTAACAAAGTTTGTTGGATCTATTGTACCACCCGCTATTAGACTATCGATAAATATTTAATCACACGCTCAAAATGTCCAATCATCAATACATGTCAAATTTGTAGGATTAAGTTAAGCATAAACTACTTTATAAGAATTAAATCACTCAACAGTAACAAGCTTAGTACCAACTACACAAAATAAGGATCACAATCCCTCCAACAAAATGACGAAAATAGAAAACATCAAAGAGCAAAAACACCCGCAAACAGAGCAATTATATGGATTCAAGAGACAAGATATACAACACATGACCTTCTTAATATAAAAACTCTAAATTCTAACCAAGCATGGAAATCATTAAAATTGGAAGGAAAAAACACAAGGATAAATATCAACGAAAAACTTTCACACTAAAAGTTGATCTCAGAATATTGGTTAACTCAACCCATTAGTGAGATCAAGATTTAATCCCACTTATATACACTACTTCTTTGACCATTATAAAACACTATGTGGGATCTGAAACAGTTGATAAAACCCACTGGCCATTATAAAATCAGATAATTAGGCAAAAGCTGGAAAATGTACACAACCAATCAAATTAACCCGGTAAGTAAACTGAACAAGACAAAATTCAGACCAAACGATTCAGACCTGCAAAACCACTAATTTAGTATATTATGAATTGCCAACATCTAAGATGAGGGTAAGTTGAAAGACACACCAAAGGAAAGACGCATCACACGCAACGCACAAAAAATAGGAATAACACCACAAGCACCACCAACAAGAACAAGAACAATAGTAGTATCATACATTCGAGCACGATGTTTGAGCTTCCAAAAGATGGCGTAGTTCCAATGAGTATTCAAACAGAGGCTTCTGAGTACTTGGTGCAAGTTGGTACCCATGTTGCCCCCTCCTTAACTAGTCAGAAACTTTAACACCCCGAAGGCACCCCCGACAAAAAGGGTCGTGAATTCCAATCCTCCAAAAATGAACAAAACCCCTCCAACACCACACACTCCCCCTCCTTCCCCTAGCTCCCTCTGTAGGACCCTCTTCCAGCCTGCTTCCTCCGCAACCCCGCTCGCCGTTTTAATGGCGGTCCAACTGTTGGCAGTATCAGACGATCCGCACCCATCACTCGCCCCGCCAATTCCCACCACCCCACCAACCAAAGCTTCCAACTTTCCCTCACTACCGACAAAACACAACCAAACCCACCGGCACACTTAACGCTAAAACTGAAACACCAGACCCAATACAGCAAATCTCGCAACTAGCCATTGAATTAACAAACAACCTTGTTAGATTCCAAAAAAGAGTGTGAATAAGGTTGAGTCAAATAAGGAAAGAAAAAGGGTGGCTAATAATCTAGCTTATATCCGACGACATGTGAAAGTCTTTTGCTGTCGGGGGAGAAGGTTCAGTTTCTCTGGGAATGCAATTGTGAACTGAGTCTTTACCCTTTGCAGAGAGACCGAGAGAGAGAGAGAGGTTTTTGAGAACTTGCTAATTGCTTAGTAAAGAGTGGAGAAGGCAGGGTGCGAGAATGTGAATGGTGGAAAAGGAGTGTGGTTCTTGTTCTATATTGGAGTCACGTTGGCACGCTGTTCCTTCGAGCTTTTTCACTCGGGGAATCTCCACCGTTGATTCAAACAATCATGCTAGCCATAGCGTAATCCAATGCACCATCCCTACTATCATATCACTAACCACACCATGCATTTTAGTAAACAAAAAGGTTATTTATTTGTGCATGTCAAAGTACAAAATGGAAAAATAATAAAACTAGCGAAGAAAAAAAGTTGAGTTAACTTGAACAAACAAACTGTAATTCAGACACACTTTTAGTATTGCAGAAATGGATAGAGCTAAAGGGTAGTCTCTCATTTTTAGTTTTTCATTATATTTTGAACAGAAATTATATTCTAAAGAAACAGTAAAAATGACTATTATGATATAATTCTTCTCAAAAAAAAAATGAAAAAAAAAAAATGGCATGTGGAGACTAGACTAGACACTTGACAAAGGGCAAAGGCCCCAAGTAAACTCTATGAAGAGTTAGAGGCTAATTAGAGGTTTATATTTAACGTTAAGAAGCACGATAGGGCAATGGAAAAGGGGGAAAAAGAATGATGGGGAACAATCCAATTGGGGTATGAGTACACTTTATGGTGGTGTCAATTGATGGCCAACAGCATCATGCCAAATTGAGGACATGCTTCCTTATTTTCCCCTCAAGTTTTCAATCCTTTCTTTGAAACCCTAGAGAACGTACCCTGCTACCCCTCTTAAGGTCCTTTTCAACAATGATCTTATTGCCCTAAAGTTGTGACACCTTCAACCTCCCATTTCTTCAAACGATTCCTACTTTGTCACGTTATAATTGAATCTTTTAGAGTGCCAACCTTTGTTTCACACATTGGTGACCATGCTGCCCTTTATGATCATAGCTTTCCACCGATTTACAGCTTCTTTCTGTTTTACCCTTTACAAGGCTTGGAACCGGAGTTGGAGAAAGTCAAAGTTTTTTCGCCTCTCACACAATTACCTAGGAACATGTTCTGTTGTAAATGTAAAACATGTTTCTGATCATTTATCATAGAACTATGTTTTAGACTTTAAAAATATATTATCTATTACTTTAGCCCACAAAATTTAATACAATCTGACTCCAGAATGCAATAAAGATTAGTTATAAAAAAATTAGCTAACAAAAAAATTAATATATCTTAATTTATTTTTTATGATAAAGATCAAATATTTTTTATAGAAAATGTTTCCTTTTTAGTAATTGAATATTTGACTGATTTAATTTGTATAAATTATTACTGCTATGCTTTAAAACAAATAAGATTTAATATTAAACAGACAATAAATTAGTATGTTTTTAAAGATTTAATTTTAACTTTATTAAAATTTAAAAACTTTTGTATTTCTTTAAAACATACTTCTTCCTCCATTCTAAAAGAATATCGTTCTAACACATTTCTTAAGTTATGTTTTAGGTTTTTAATAAAACATTAAATGATTTATTTTAATTTTAGCTAAAATAAAAAAGTTAATGTGACGAAATCAACCCTATGACAGAAAATAAATAATGAGAATAATTTAGTAAAATATTTTTACTCGTTAAATATTTTTTTGTAAAAAAAAACTCAAATCGTTACTAAATTGAAATGGATAGAGTATACCATAATATATGTGCCTAAATTATATCATTTTGCCAAAACACAATTATTTTAGTTTATTGACTAAGTTAGGCATATTATATCACTTTCTATCATTCAAAAGTAAATTGAAATTAAAAATTAACAAGCGTACATAATAATAATCCTTTGTAAAAAAAATAATTAGTACAAAATTAACAAGCTTATATAATTATCCTTTATTTCAAAATATATCGGTTAGGTTACACATACTTAAATAATTATTATTTTATATTATTCTTAAAAATTTATTAGTTTTTTTCTATGATTATCCTTGTCATTATAATACTTTTTTATCCTATATCATTTATAATAACTTCTTATATTATCCTTACACCAAATACAGTTAAAAACAACACAAGAGTATAATTAATATACTTTTAAATTTTACAAAAGATATATATTTAAAAACATTTTTTTAACAAAATATAGTATATTTTGAAATAGAAAAATAATAATATAGATTAATCTTTAATGCTCAATATGCATGTGTTATTTATTCATTTCCAAATTTTTTTATATTTTTATCCTAAAAAAATTGTTTTGCTTTTTCAGTAAAAATGATAGGAAAGAAATACCATCTTTAATTTTACTTGACAACATATACATTAACGATAAGTTGCTAAAAAACAAGAGAAACCTAAAAACTATTACATTTATACATAAATAGTGTAAGTAATTAATCAAGTTCAAGGAAATTCGAAGTGGCACATATGATATCTTGTGAAAAGCGTTAGTGTTAATTAAGTTGCATATTCGAGAGTAAGATTATGGTTATTGATTTCTATTATATCAATCATGAATCACGTTCAAAACAATTTACAGCGTTTTAGGTTATTCGTTATTTGCGGGATGGTAGATTGCAAAACTCTCATAATTCCAAAAACACGTACTATATATGAACCAGTTACAGATTAATTAAACAGTAAAATGAAACGATGTGCATTAATTATTCCACTATTTCTGGGAAACGTTGTTTTGTTGATGTAGAGATTCAAGTTGTCGGAAGTAGATAACAGCAATTTACTTGGTTTCTTGCAGTATCAGGAAGCATAATCATTCATATTTGTTTCTGTTGCTAATTGGTTGGGTTACGGAATCAATTATATCTCTCTAAGTTTCCTCAATTATCGATCATGCATCATAATTACATGCTATCACCCATCTTTCTATCATCCAAATTTGGACCACAACAAAACCTACCTCACTAGCTATGGTAGTCAAATGGTTTATTTTATAGCTCAAAGTACCCAAATTTTTCACTATAAAATTAGTAGGTTCTTCAACCATATTTATCCTAGGTCCAGTTTTTAATTGTCTATATATGAAAAATATTCGTTACTATGTCTCAAAAAGTTTTGATTTTGCACTGAAAAATATTCTCCTATATATATGTATATAAATGTAGAAAAAAAAAATGCAGAGAAGAAAAGAAAAACCTAACCATGATGTTGATTGGTGGAAAGAATAAAAACTCTTGAACGGCCATTATTGTTTCTGGCAATAAATTTAATTATAGGGTTATCAAAAGCTTGCACAGGGGATGGTCATGGGACAAAGTCAACTTCGCTATGCATGAATATGCTAAATCAGTGATTCTAATGATATACTGAGTAGTATGATGAATGCAGACAGAGACCAAACAACAATGATTTGATTTTTCTTCTTTTCTTACCAGCTGATTGTTAATAAATTTAGCAAGTTCACAAAATTGTTGAAGTAATAATAGGTGAAGTTATGTTGGAATAATTATTTTTTTCTTTGAACATAAGGTGTAATTATTTTATATATATATATATATATATATATATATATATATATAATGTATAATTAAAATGAAAAACTCTTTTTATGTATTTATATTATTTTATTGAATTAGATATTTATTGTTTATAAATATTTTAATATATTCTGATACACTATATAATATATTATTTATTTTAATCCTAACAACAATACACTTTTAGTTCTCTAGCTATACAGCTCCAACTTATAAATCATATTTTAATGACTAAATCCTCTCATTTCAATATTAAAAACCCTAACTTATTGTTGTGGTGACATCTAGTATATTTGTTTTGGTGGCTATATGCCACATTACCATTTCAAGGTAATATATGTATAGTGATTTCAAGTATAAGAGCATCTAAAAATTACCATATATGTGAGAATATAGATATAGTTTGAAGGATATGATTTTAAAGAAAGCGTAATGAAAATGGATAATACTCTCCACTAAATCTTATAAAAAATAGATTCCAATTTGAGGTATTATAATTTTAACTGATGAGGATTATATTCATATTTTTTCACCCTCTAAGTTGTTCACCTTAAAAGAATATAAAAATCCGATGATATGTATCCTGCAAGGCTAACACATGGAGAACATATTATGAAAATATCCTTTTCAATTTGCGTATAGATTCCAAATGCTCCTTTTTATAAGTTCCTTTTCGTTGCTTTCCCTTTTTCTCTTAACATGGTTGGGAGCCAAAATCATCCCGAATAGATCTTGTAGCTGAGCTTTTTGTTAACACGTAATCCAATTAGCAAAGGATCACTCCTTGGCCTTCAAACTCATGAGTAGAGTGTTCCATCTCACTCATTCTTCTCTCTCTCTCTCTCTCACTTAGTCAATATCGATGGCCCCAGCATGAAAATGGAACACCCTAAGAAAAAAAATATATTCAAATATGTTCAATAATTACTCTAGTGGTGGCCACTACCTGAATAAACTATCTTTAAGCTACAACAAGTTAACCAACCATGGATGTGTGGAGTTTTTCTTTTTCTTTTAAGTTTCAAGTATTTTGGATTGGAAAATCTACCAAGATACACATCTCAAGTGGTATTTGGTTAGAGATTTTGTTTCCACTCCCTGAATTAATGATCATTTCATGCCCCCAAGGCAGTGATACAACAGGCATAACTCAAGGAATCCAATGATAATCACAGCTCAAAACTCTTTCAAAACGCTTTGTTGTTCTATATATTTTTTTACCGAAGCAATAATGTTTCGGTCCTTGAGTGTAGTAAAAGATAGAGAAAAGAAAAAGAAATTCTTGTCAGCTTGTGGATAATGAGTATATAGAATATTAAATTTCTTACTTTCTTAGGGAATATCATAATTATTTTTGTAAAAATGTTGTCCAATCTTCAATCACTAATAATGTTATATGATAACTACAACGGTTAATATGGTCCAAGGCCATGTTGTCACTTTCTGTAAAGACTCATTTGAGACATTCGGGTGGGGAAATGGAATTGCCATTGATTTCTCTTGGGATCTGCACAAAGCAAACGTTGGCCATATCCAACATGTGTGATCTTAAAATGGTACTGTTGCATGTAAAGTCAAGCATTATGTGTTTTAAAATTGATAAACTTTGTGCTAAAGAAAGTCATTCCTACCACCATGAAAGGTACAAATACTTTTGTAACCACAAGTAAGTTTACCATGATAAAAGTGCTTAATCCAATATCTGCTCTTCCAAGATAAGATTGGATTAGTGGGGTTTGTCATTTAACAGAGCTGAGAGCTCTCACGAATATTGTGTTATATTCTTTGTTTTCTCACACATGTATCCATCCTTCTCATTTTATCTCCACTGAAATTAAATATTAAAATCTTGCCAATGATTATTGAAAGGAAGATCTTCTCCTGAAAATGTGATGTTATGAGTGATCAGTTTGTAATATTTTCCACGCCATAAAATGATGAAGCTTCTGCCACCTTGAACGATTTTGATTGAATCCAATCTATCTTTCAAACCACTATGTGTATTCGAGGGGCATCTCTAGGCTGTAGCCATTAAAAGATTGTGAATATTCATACCAGGGTCTGCCTAAGGTTCAACACATGCTAAAAAAAGAAAGGCTTTGATTCATACAAATACACCACTATTCTTTGCTGAACAAAACAAGGAAAAAAAGATGAGATTTGAAGACACCATAAAACATCTTTCCATCAAGATCAATATAGTGTTGCCATCTCTTAGTACAGAATACATCTAAATGGCTAAATGCAATACATGTTAATTTAATAGTTTTTAACAAATTTAACTGAATGATTAGGCCTTTCATTAACCAAAACACATTCTCAAAGGTTAAATATGTCCAGAATGGTCTTCCCGATTTCTTTACATTTCTACCCTCTTGTTGTGTGAGAATTGAACGTGATTGGAAGTGGGGACAGTGTTAACAAGAGCTTGAACTTAAAGTGATTGGTGTTATAGCTTGGCAGCATTTTTCTCCCCTTACTAGGGTGATGGTGGATTCATCATCCTTGCGTAGGACCAAACTCACAAACATATTATCAGCTTAATTTTCTGAATCAATGCTTGTCAGTTGTCACTTTGTTAATTCAGTGGATCTGAACTGCTCATCATAGTGAGGATTAATTCAGCTATTGTTCTGTCTTCAGACCATTCAACATTCTTTGTGTATGCAATCATGTAAATGGGAAAATGTTGAGGACAATACAGCTGCCAAGCACTAGCCGCCAAGCTAGGATATGGAGATTCACCAGTAATTATTATTATTATTATTTTTATTTTAATATATTAATGATGGTAAAATTGAAATTGACCTAATTAACAACCCAAAGAGAACAATGGAGGTCTGAATCAGAAAAGGAGTTCTCTACTGCCCTATATAACTCATCATTTTAAAATATCTACTCTTTAACTTATATCACAATCTAAACATTGGGAGGAAAAAATCAAATCCCGTAAGGAGCCCTAAATTGGAGAGGTTACATTAGTTTGGTTTCGCATTAAGTGTGGTAAACTCATGTTCTCAGCAAAGTTATCACCTTTCATTTGTTTGTAATAATTTTGTTCACGTAGATTATTAACAGTAGAATCTTTTTAATGTTATAATCAATGATCTCTATGTTAACTTTACCACTGGGATTTATAAGACAACAAGATGAAGCAAGAAACACATGCACTTATGGTTGCATGGTGAACAAAGTTACGTTACCTCTCTTTTCATGAAGAGAAATTCAAAATGGATGGTCTCTGTGCTTAATTGATCGACCAGAAGTTGAAGAGATAAGAGAAATTGTTAGAGACATAACAAGACATTGAGGGCCATCGTAATATTTTCAAAACAGTGGGAGGCAAAAAAAAAGAGGGGAAATTGAGAGGTGATTATTATGATCATGTGAGATATGTCTGGCTGGATAAACACTGTCTAGGCAAATACAAAACATTCTTATTACTTAAATTTCATCAATCCAACCACCACCACTAATACTTTGCTGGTGTGACGCAGTGTTTTTTTAGTACATTCTGTTTCATTTTTTTATTTTTATTTTTTCTTCTCTTACTCCACGTACCTACAATTATAGAGTTTATTTTTTATATAAATATAAATATCTGTTCACTATTAATCATTGATAAATAAGAAGTTAATATTAGATAATATGACAACCAGCAAAGATTTAAATAAATTTTAGATTAAATAGCTTTTTCAATTTTTTTAATTTAATTTTATTATTATTTTAAGTTTCAATTTAATTTTTTAATTGATTTGATTTGTCTCTTCCGTCACTATCAATAAGTCATCTAAAAGTAATTTTAAATTCATATTTTTGGTTTATCAATTTATTTATTTGTTATTATAATAATGAATGTGTTTCTATTATATATGATGAATATGTTAGATGTGGAAATGGATTCAATGAACTCAACTAATGTAAAAATGAACTGTCTCCAAGTGATTCAACAAAATTAGGATGATGAATTGAACTAAACTATATTATAATTTGAATGAAACGAACCAAATTATAATCTGAATTGCTTTTGAAATTGTTAAAAATGTGAATTGTTTGAAATATTATCTATGAACATGATAATAAGTTATAGCTCAAACAACTTTATTTATGAGCAATGCATTTTTTTTACTAAGCTAAAATAACAATATAATTCATTTTCTTAAAATAATTTATTTTTTCTATGCAATTCAGTTCAATTTAAAAAAAATATTAATCTCATCAATAATAATAATAAAAACAATGCATATAATTTTTTGACACTGGTTAATATCAACTCTTTAAAACATGTAATGTTTTTTTGGTTGAGGTCACTTTTTGTTAAATATTTAATAATTTCTTTAAAATTAAATACTTAATAAATTAAACAATTTTGTCCATGTCCTTTATTTAATTTATTAAGTGGATAATTTAAAAAAATATATAAAATATTTAACAAAAAGCCCAGATATATTGAAATATAAAACTTATTTAAACCTATTATTTATAACCTATGAGATAAATAAGCCTTGCAGTAAAACTTAATTGATAGTGCTTATTAAACAGTGTACACATGACAATGAAATCTTATGTTGTCATTTTCTTCTTTCTTATCTGAGAGTCATCATATTGAAAGACACTGAGTTTAAGAAATTAAAAAATAACTCAGAAATTTTAGGAAGTTGTGGGTCAATGTTGAATGAATAAGATAAAATGTTTTAATCGGAGAATTGAATTGAGGTTCTATAAAGTAATTAGAATTGAATTGTCCCTTCTACTTGTCCTCCTAAAATAATAAAATTGCCACGTCAAGGAGATGCATTGAACTTAGATCAATTCACACAAAAGCCCTACCATTTTAAGTCACCTTTGCTTACTTTACCAACATTTCTTAAATTGTTTTTACTAACTAAAAAGAGAGAAAAAAAAAAACTTTCGGTATTATTATGAAGATGCTCCACAAACAACTTTATCCAAAAGCTTTGTTTTTCATTTTTTGTTGTTATCCACTTTATAGTCAAATATAAGTAAATATATTTTGTATGAAGGGTAGAAATTAGTGATTTGGAGCTTGTTATAATGACTTACTTAACTAATAGATGAATTATCTTCAATATAATTATTTAATATAACTTTACATAATATATTTGTTGAACTATATAACCCACTTTAATGTTATTATTGAGATGAAATAAATAAAAAAGTAACTTTTTATCATTGTTTTATATATATATATATATATATATATATATATATATATATATATATATACATATGGATGCATAAGTATTGAATTTTAAAATTATGAATTTTTTACTTGTTATTTAAGAGTTTTATACAATTTAAATTTAAAAGATATCAGGAATACCAATTGATTTTTTAATTTCAATTTATGTGTATAATAAATTTTATTTTTGGATAAATTTACATAGACTTTTCTGTTATAAAACATTTTATATATAACATCCAAATTTTTTTTTCCTTTTTCTTTAAAGAACATTACCATTTTTTTCTCTTCTTTTACCATTCAAGATATGAATACTTTTTTCTCTTCATTTGAGAGTAAAAAAATAATACTTTTTTTTAAGTTCAAAATGAATGAAACAAGTTTATGAAAATAAATAAATAAAAAAAACAATCATTTATTAAAAAATATAAATACATAACTTATAAAAAAAATAGAGAAGTTGCATTAAAAAAAATAACTAAAAACTAAAAAAGTATATGAAAAAACCTTGACTATCATATAGTCAAACACAAAACAAAATATACGTTTTACATAAATACAATTTTAAAAATTAAAGAATAAATTATATCATTATTATATTAGTCAGCATCATTTTGTAGCCACAATTTATTTTTAATATAGATATTAACACTCAAACAAATTTATATTTTATTATTAAATTATTCCTATGAAACTCTAAAATTCTTCATTACATGTATTATTTCTTATTAAATGTATATAAAACTAAATTGAGCAAATTGATAAGAAACCTTGCTCTAAAGTTCCAATAAAAGTAAAAAAAAAAAAAAAATTGTTGAAATATATCTCCCATTGGGAAAAGTCAAAATGGTGGGTGTAAATTGATATTCGATATGAGGTTGTGAACAAACACATTCCGGACCTTTAGTAATGTGTTATTTGAAGGATCGTTCCAATCAAGAGACATCGAAATCACAAAAAATATTTTATTTTATTTTATTTTATTTTGAAGAATAAATTTGAATAACAAAGAATGTAGTTAACCAAGTTGCAATTTGAGTGTTACCCAACCACACACTAGTAAAGGCATGGGCTGGCCTTTTAATTGTGGCCCATTAAGAGCACAAGCTGATATGTCCAATTTTCAATTTCTCTCACAATGGCCGACAAAAATCCATATCCCAACTTCTATCTCTAAATCGATAGCTACAACGCATAAGCAAGAAAATTTTATCACGCTCGTCAAACTTTATTAACACGTTTAGGGTATAACTTTTCTTCCTCACCCAAATTTTTTATAAATATGCTACATATTTTACCATTTATTTATAACAATTTTGTGAAATTTATATATTTTTTGGTACATTTTTTAATTTATATATATATATATATATATATATATATATATATATATATATATATATATATATATATATATTTCACGATGTATAACAATACATTGGTGTGTTCAAAGAATTGAAAATACAAAATGCATCAATTTGTGAAACTCGGCAATTTTCAGTATAAAAATGATAGACAACTTTTGTAAGACAAGGAACTTTTACATTTTGCATGTTTACGTTTTCTTCAAGGAAAGGATTTGTCTGAGATATTTTAAATAATTCAGTTCCGTGTACCATGTATAAATTATTTTATCAAAACTAGTCTATATCTTTAATTACTTGACAAATAAAGTTTTCTGGAACTCAATCCCAGAATCTTTGGATATCCTGAAAAACATTGAACTGAAAACTTGAAGTATTTCATTTTTGTTTCTATCTTCTGCTATAAGAAAATGGTTACGCTGTTCATAACACAGATTATGCTTGTTTTCTAACAACTTAATATGTAGTTCATACTCATGAAATTCTTTTTGTCATTTTTTTCTCTTTCAACTATTCTCATAGCACCATCATTATTAAGTTGGTTTTATATGGTTGATGAGCTGTTTTTGGAACTTAATAATGATATTGGGTGAAATTCTAAAGTTGATAATACATATGTATTTGATACATCGTCTCATGTTATAAACTTCAAAAATTGGTTACTAAGATGTTACATGAGAAAGAAGCAATTTCTAATAACTACCTTATTTGACTGCAATCGTTAAAAGAAAGTTTATATTAAAATTCGTTTATTTTTCAAGAAATTATAGGTGTAACTTTTTTTAGAAAAAATATTGATTTCAGTATCTTTTAAAAAAATTATGTAAACGTATAAGTCAGAAACACGAGTTCACAACGAATAAATTGTCATTCTAAATATTATTTTTACTTTTTTTTTATTTTTATTTTTAATGTTGAAATGGTATTTTTTTTAACATTATTTCATTTTTTTAACGTGTTATTTTCATCTTATAATGAAATTGTGTTTCTAAACACAATTTTATTTCTTCATATATCTTAATAATTATTATTATATTATTATTATTAATTTTCTTATAAATAAATAAAATAATAATAATTAACATTAATAATAAAGTAGTAATGTTAATATCAATAAATATAATAATTAATAATATTATTATATTTATGATTTATTATAATTATTTTTTTATTTTTATTAAATAATAATAATGTTAATAATATTTAACAATAAAATATTGATAATCAGAATTATATTATAAAATAAAAATTATAAATAAATTTAATAATAATAAGTATTAATTATTTTATTTTTTAATATTGTTATTATTAATTTTATTATTTATTAGTATTTCATAATTAATGTTAATTATTATTATTATTATTTTATTTATTTACAATAAATGTAATAAAAATTATTAAAATATATAAAAAAGTGTACAAAACAAAAAAATGTTAAAATAACTAAAATTAGTGTTAAAATTAAAAAAAACTTGAAAGGACGAATTTTCGTTAATGAATTTGATGTGAACATAACCTATGACAAGGGCTAGAGCAAGGGAAGCAAATGAAGCTCTTCAACAAGTATTTTTGGTTGACCAAATTGTGTTTTGGATTAATCAATTAATGGGTTTTAGTTTAGTTTTATTGCAAGTTTTAATAAGGACACAATTAGAAATTTAGTTATCAGTCTTTGGGAGACCAAGAAGGTGCATAGCTGATTGACTTTTGGATGCCAGAATTTCAATTACAATTCATGATTAAGTAGTTTTCAATTCTTAGGTTAATAAATCATTATTAGCATTTATTTTCCTTTAATGAATATTTGTAACTCTGATGACAAAGCTTCTTTATAAGCTGAACCATTTTTATCAGAAATAACAAGTTGAGTTTATTTTTAGAAATATTAGAGTTTATCTCTTTTATCTTAGTGAGAGTGATTCTCCTAAATTTTTGAGTGATTCAAGAACCCTTAGCTATATCAAAGGACTGTCATATCCTTTGTGTGTTGCTCTACCTTAGGAAGAGTGATTCTTTCCTTCCATCTTCTTTCTAATTCCTAAATTTCTTACAATATTTTAATCCTAAAGATTCTAAATTACTTCTTGTGTAATTGTGATTCATATCGAATTTAAGCACGACTTATCCATTAAAAAATTACGCATGGTATTTTTGCCTACATGCGAAGTAAAGTTTAATTTTCAATGCTTTATTAAAAAAATATATTTCTAACCAATCATAAATCTTAGTTTATATATATATATATATATATATATATATATATATATATATTAAGATGATTATTGCAAGAGTTATCAAACCTACCAAAATAATATAAAAGATATATTATAAATAGTTACAAATAATCAGAAAATTAAATGATATAATTATTTGTAAATTAAAATCTTTTAAAATACCAGAAGAGATTATACAATTTTTAATAGAGACAATATGTATCTTTCACAATTCAAACTCTTAAAGTTGAAATAATTTCGCCCTTACTCTAGAGATAAACGTTGAAAAAGAAAAAAAAAATCAGGACAATTCTTATCTCATGCATTACTTGCTATAATAAGATCGAATTAACCAAACTCGTAAAACAGAGACAATTTGAAGAGGAATAAAGAAGAAACATTACCCGTGGATGCATGAGAGAAAGACATGTTAGAATCTTGTGCTACAATATTCAGAGAAAGAACAGACATTCTCAAATCACAAGGGGTAATAGCAGCAGCAAGTGACATGAACATAATAACATGCTCGATGGATTGCATGGAACAATCAACACCAACCTTGTGGCCACCTATTTGTAGGATCAAGTCTAGGAATTCGTAGTCTCCTCTTCAAACGTGAACCCAACCTAATTGTGTTGCTCTCTTTCCTCCCAAATATCAGCTTAAGCAGAAAGCCTCTACGTTTGTTCCTTCTCTTCCCACTTGCACATGTCTCGGTGGAGTGGATCTCATTCACATAATCAGCAGGAAATATCTCATCACGGGTCCTAACAGTGTTGAGCCTTGAATACTTTTGTTCAAGAGATTCCTTGGGCACGTTCCTTGCTAGCAGAGGAGATGCACCTCCCCAATTATTTGTTCCCAAAGATGGGTGCTGTGGGGTTCTGAATTCCAATACTGATCCCACTCTTTGCTTCATCCCTTTTTAGTTACCACCATCTATGGAATCTTGTTATTTATACACATACGCTGAAAATTTCAAGGACCATATGGGTTCGTGAATTCCGATAACATGATGCATAGCAAAATATGCTTAGCAGCAAAATCCAGCGTAATGCCACTCATACAAGACGACTCATTTCTACCACTTTCGATAAAAGATTACAACTTTAATAGCTATAATCAGGACAAGAGTTACTTGATAGCCAAAACACTCTATTTGAATGTCACAGCAAAACATTATCTAAAGCAATTTGGGTGAAATTTATAAAAAAACATAACATTTTTTTGTCAGCTGATCAACCTTTTTTTTTCTTGTGATTTTGTAAATTTTTACAAAATTGTAAATATGTTTTTTTTTTCTTCCAATTAATGTAAGTAAGATATGACAACTAATTGATTGGTAATTTTTACATCTTAATTCATTGTAAAGTCTATATATATTATTAATGATTAAAATTTATATGGATTCAATAAATGATACCAAGTTATAAAAGATTTAACTATAACTAAAAATGGTTAGGATAGAAATTAAAAAATGGCTATAATTTTTTTAATTTGTTATATGTGATTATTATAAATGATTATGATTTTACATTGTTTAGATGATCTAACCATGAATAACTCTAGGTAGAATCACCTTATTTAGTGGAATATATACGTAAGTCAAAAGGGATATATATACGTTATTGGTTTTTTTATATTTAATTACTTAAAACAAATTAAGTAATTGTATATTTTAAAACTTTATCAGGGAATCATTTTAATAAGATAATAAGACACTCATTTGAATCTATAATTTTATTTATTTATTTACTCCATTTTATATGCATTTTTTACTGTAATGTTTAAAAACATTATATGTATCTTCTGAAGTTTTTTTTTCAGTTATTTTGTTATCTTTAGTGTTATTCTTTTTTTTTGCCACCTTTAAGGTTTTAAATTACAATAACAGCTGTAGTGTGGAAATTCCCATAGTTTAAATATTGCGTAAATTGTACGCAAATGAAAATGTTACGTGTAATTGCAATTGTAGTGAGATTTAGAGATTTCCAATAAGATCTTACTATAACGGGTTAAAACTGTGGTTGTGTCCGACAATTTAGAACCTTGACTACTCCAATTAAAATGACTTTGTTCTTCCTATATTTATCAAAATAATGTTTATAAATTTTAGGTTGACTCATATTAGAATATTTATATACTAAATAGAGAGTAAGCATGAATGAAGTAATTGTCAAGGTTAGTGACAAAAGGGCGACTTAAACAAATTGGATGATGTAAACGTGAATTATGTTAAAGAAATAGGATGAGATACTAACTCAGTGAAACGAACAAAATTTTTACCTAGTGTTTAGTCCTTGTTCATTGACAATTGACCCATAGAAAATAATTTCTTAGTTTGCATTTCTTCAAAGATGGTGTAAAAGTAATGTGCAGATGACAATGATGTGTTAAAGAAAGAACCTGTTTTGATCATAGTTATCTATGGCCTACATTGTTTTAGTGGACCAAAAAATTTGTTCTTTGAAGAAATAGATATCTTGGCAAAATATCCAAAAAAATGTTCACAGATAATATTTTTGCATTTCTTCTTTATGTTGAGATGATGAGAAGATCATTAATATATATATTAAGTCTAATCTTTGTTGTTTTACATTAACAAGTTTATTCCATATGAAATTTTTTTTTTGTGAATATATAATTTTGATCTTATTAAAATATCATCTAATTGTTAACAGAAAATTGATATATGTTTATAAGTGATAATGGAGTCAATTATTCATTCACGTACAATATAATCAAATATTAATAACAAATTTTAAGCTATTATAAAAATGCATTCATATTTTCTGTTGATAAATTAGTGATGCAAAATGTTTAATTTACGAAATTAAATTATTAAACTACGTCATTACAAAATTATGGTGATGATAAGTATATTTAAGTTTTGAGCTTGTGCTTTGTTTGTGTTCCTTATTTTCAAATATTAAAAAATTTTAATTTTAGTTGTTAAGAAATTGTAATTGGTCACTAATTAGATATATACATGATGGATGAAAAATAATATATTTTGAAAATTTTACATCATTTTATATAAGCAATAAAGGGTGATAATCATTATATAATAAATTTAAAGTATATGATGTTCTATGTTCCATTAAAAGATATTTTTTAAGTTTATAATTGACTCTTTTTTTTTATATTTAGTAGAGTGTTATGATATTTGGTTTAAATTCTTACCTTTGAAAGTAAGTATATTTCGGGCCAAAGGACATAAGAGAATAATATATGTGTTATAAAAAATTCACATAATGTTATTTTCTGGTTGTCATTAAATAATGGTTACATTTTTTTATTAGTATCTACTTTTTGTGTTGATTATTTTTATCTTATTTTTCGATTAGTAGGATAATTATTGACGATAAAAATGTGTTAATGTTCTTTATGACATTTTTTTCCCACGTCATAGTGGTATTAGAGGTTATGATTTAGTAGAATATTTTTAGTATCATTAGTGATTACAATTTAATTTGATATTCCACAAAAAAAAAAAAATTCTTGTTGTTAAAGAATCATCCTCATGTTATTTGCAAGTGTTGATAGAGAAATTTGATAAAATGATCAATTTTGGCTTGTGGCAAAGTAAAAAATATGTTGATACAATTTGAATTGGATTATACAAGGCGTTAACATTGATGTAGGTGTGCGGGTCTTGACATGGAAAAAGACGAGTTTTTGCTAGCGGTAACCGTGCATCTTAATCATTAGTTTTGAGACGGTCAAATAATATATTATTAATAAATAATAAATAAATATAAAAAGATAAAAGAAGATGAAAAGATAAGAGGATAAAATTGTAAATATATAAACAAATATATTAAATAATCATTAAGTATATGAGACCAAAATCATAAATTATATGAGAGTTACATATCTTTGAGGGACATGACCCCCTCAGTTTCAAAAAAATCTATCAGATGTATAATGAAAAGAAAATCTTAAAATGATTTAATTTAATTCAAAGTAAGCATATTCTTTATGGTGGAATATGAATGATTGGTGGTGTAAGGAATGAAGATAAGAATGGATATGTATTTATTTTAATCATTATTGAGATTATTTGATTAATAAAAACAATACATTTTAAAATTGTCTATAATATTCTAACACTCGTGATACAAAAATATTTTAAGTTTATATTTAATTTTTCTTATATGTTTTAACATAATAATGTGAAATTTGATTTAAATTCTTGAGTTAGAAGATGTAAAAATATTTAAGATGCCACGACATGAAAAAATATTTTATGTGGTAAAAGAAAGAGTTGTGATTTGTGTGACCTAATAATCAAGTTTTATATTTTTAAGTTTTTATATGTTTGAACGGTAAAGAAACAATTTCATTATCGATCTTTCAATCAAAATAATGATATTACATAATCTTTCAAACTGGAAGTGAAATAAAAAAATTAATAAAATATGATTAATTATTTAACAAATTAAAATAATAACACTTTACAAATCCTACATCCTAAATCTTAAAATAAATATAAGAAAGACTCGTACGAGTTGGATTCTTCAAAATCTTAAGATTACAATTTTCATGAGTGTTACAAGTTTTATACATCATAACATTATTAGTTAATATTAATGTACTTATTTTGCTAATTTGTTTTTTTTTTTTTTGTAAAAGAAAACATGAACTGAGACTAAAAGGGTTGTGTAGCTCGTTAAGGGCATTAAAGTGTAGGAAAGTAAACTCATTGTCTTGATGCTACAAAATCCAATTAATTAACTACAGTCCAATGCTTGTGAAGGCTCATGATCTTCCTACTTCATACCAAGCCTCACAAGAAGATGAACACAACTTGGCAATAATGCACACTACAAAACACGTGAGATTGGTCTTATTATAGGCACCTTCAATCATCATCATCATCAACAACTAAATTTGATTTTTTCTGCTGCAATGATTTATTACTGAAAAAAAATACGGTAGATGTATTTTGAAAATTTCGAATTAGATTATGTTACGTTTAAAACAAATGGTAGAAGAAAGAGGAGGGAAGAAATCAGATGGGCCTCATGGGCCTAGTACAAACTCAGCCCATATAAGTTGTAACCCAATGAGTTGGGGCCTTCCAATTTTACTATTGTGTTCCCTTCTGGTTCCATAACCAGGTAAAACTTGTGTACCTGCCGCGCAATCCCATTAAAATATATATATAAAAAAGAGAAATAGAAGATGCAAAACGTGGTTCAATTCGCCACATGTAGGCCATCTAATCCAAAATAATTGGAAAACAATTAATTGATTATTAATAAAACAACATAAATTTCTTCTAAGCATGATTAAATGGTTAAACCATTTTAACAGGAAAACAGGGATAAACAGATCAGTCACTTAATGACAAAAAAACTTACAAATATTTTATTTAACTATTTTTTAAAATATATTATTTATAATATTAATTTAGAAAAGAGATGATTTTATGAGTTAGTTCTTTAATTACATTATAATAAATGGTTGGATAACAATGTCAAACCTATTAAATGAACGTTTATTTTCATTGTGGAAACACACATGTTATATGCGTCGGTCAATAATAACGGTTGTTATTCTGCTTGTCGTGATAATTAGAAAAAAATTATCTAAATTAAACTCAGTTATTGATAATTTAAAAACAAATCATGAAAATTCTCATTAATTTTCTGAACCCTATGAAATGTTTACCTGACTTATTTTTTAAACTTGAATTAAAATTTATTATTATCCTATTTAAAGATTTTTATATATAAGCTTTGACTCAAGTTGATTTAAAAAAAATCCATATATTTGGTAAGTTTTGATTCTTTCAAAGAAATTAATTTTATTTAAGTAGTTTTAAATTATTTTTAAAACGTTTTAAACAGATTTTCAAAGAAATCCTTTTTGATTTTAAGTTCAGTAGTGTTTTAAATATTAGTTTCATAATTCTGTTTTAAAAAAAATATTTGGATAAAAAATATAATCCCAGTATTTTAAAAATCCAACAGATTTTTTGAATATGTAACTTACGGATGAAGGTAGGGAGAAAGAAAAGAAAACAGAAGACACGAAGACAAACTTTATAAAATGAATTATTAAAATTAATTTATATAATTATTTTCTTTATCATCACTGTAATTTCATCTTCTTCCACGCAACTACAACGACGGAAAAAAGAACAAGAAAAACCCTCCTCTCTATTCTCTTTGCGTTCTTCTCCCAATTTCTGTGCCCTTCTTCAAATTCTTCATCTGTCACTTTATTTTTCCCAAATTCCGTCACTTTATTTTTCCCAAATTCCATTGCTTCACTTGATTCTTCCTTTACCGCTTCATTATCCAACTCCTTCCACCTTCTCCGGTCAGTTCAAGGTACCTTCTTCTTTTATATGTTTCTTTTCAATTTTTATTCGTTCTTTTTTTTTTTTTTGCTTTGCTCAATTGTCCCATGCTTTATTTTATCATTTAATCGGTGTATATGTATGGTTTCCTTTTTTAAAAGGACTTACAAACGATGGGTTGTATTAATTTTATATACTTTACGTTTCCTGAGATTATTTTTGCTGGGTTTTTTTACATGTTTGGTTATAAGTGTCGATTAGGCAATCATACTCTGGTGATCGGTCTTGTTTACCGTAGAAAGTGTATAGTACTGTTGTATTTTAATGCGAATAATGCGAATTGATTAATTGAAGTTTTGTTGGGTGTGTTGCTTCTGTTCATGATTTATGCTTTATGTGCAAATAGGAAAGGTTGTTCTTTTTTTAGCTATTTTCAGAATGTGACAAGGGGAATCCCTCCCCGTTTTTTCTAAATGTTATATGGATATTGAGCTTGTTTGTCATGGTCTCTGTGGTGCGGTTGGCATAGGCATGGTCAAGTGAGTGTTGTCATGGATGTAAAGTTTGGCTTGCTGTATGGAGTGCGTATACAATTTGGTGGTCAATAAGGAGGTTGTTTGCATATCCTGTGACACTAATACAACTGAAAGTTAAGCACACGTTTATATGTATTGTAGGTAAAACTAAGTTTTTTTGGGGGTACATTAGAATGAAATAGGTGGCTGTAAGGATACTAGGTATAATGGTGATTTTATGAATTCATTTTGCAGCCTAAAGTGAAAATAGTTTGCAAATGGCAACCAGTTTCTATATCAGATTATTAACTGCAATTGGGAATTCTCATACAGACAGTGGCATTTTTAGTGGAAGGAAATGTTTCTTGTTGCAAGTAAATGCTGTTTGTATGGTTTATCAGTCACAAGTAAGATTGTGGAGAATATGACATGCCATTCAATTAACTCATTGATCTTGACTAAGCTATAATTGTTGGTCTTTTGGATTGTTCAAAACTGACAGTAAAGATTTGCGCAATGGATTTTGATTCTTATTGAACATTGAAGAGTGAGGACTACATGTTTCTTTCTCTCATGACTTGTTTTGTATGATTTTGGAAAGTGGTGTGATACTGATTTCGTAGGATAACAATTATGTGTTTCTCCCCCTTCAAATCATTTTGGAAATGTTGATGCTGAGATTGATCATGAACATGTATGGTGTTTTTGTTCATTGGTAGGAATCTTGGTCTGGGTACCATTGAGAATTATTTGTGTTGTCAACTCTCACACATGATGTAAGACCTTGTTGAGTTGACCGTATTTGACTACTGTTTCATACTTTTTCTTTTTTATTTTCTGTTGTTGAGGTGGTTGCTGACTGTTGAGTTGACCGTATTTAACTGGTGTTACATTCTTTTTCTTCTCTTATATTTTTCTGTTGTTGAGGTGAGTTTGCTATAGGATGACACCTGAATAGCTTATCCTATTATCTATTTTTCATGTTAAGCTTTGGAAGATTCTAATGTAGATTCCATTTATGTAGGACCTTGTCTATGTCATAAACATTTTGGTGTTGTTTTGGGCATGGACTGGCTGTTTATGCCCACTATCAGTGTCTGTGAACAATGTTTAGCAGGCCAGGGCGTGCCAGTGCTTTTAGAATATTCAAATGGAAACAACCAGGTGCATCATCTCTGACAACAAGTTTACTTCAGGAAAATCAGCCAGAGATTGAATTGTCTGATTATGGAAAGTTTCCTAGTCCAGGCAGTGAGAGCCCTTCAGGGCTTCTTAATGGTGACAGCCTAAATGTGGAACCAATTTCTGATTTGGATCTCTTCTTTGAAAGGCTTTACAGCTATTACTGTGAGAAAGGGCTATGGTGCATCATTATAAAGTGGATTGTTGAACTTCTAAGTCTGGGGTTCACCATATGTTTTTCAGGTTTTTTTTTACTATATGTTGACTGGAATGGACTCCGAAATGCAAAGTGTGGGATGGATGCGGTTGAATCAGGAATTAAGCCCTGTGATCTTGTTAAAGAAGCTCTTCATCAACGTCCTTTAACCCCATTAACACTTAGCAAAGCTATCATTGTTGGATACTTGGGAATATTTTCTGTTTATTGGATTTTTTGCTTCTTGAGATTCTTTGCACAACTAAAGGATACTCTGAAAATCCGACATTTTTATTACAACAGGTGGGTGTGTGTATAGTAATTAAAAGACAAAAATTAAGATAAACACTTAGATGGTTAATAGTTTTTGTCATATCTTAATGTGATTTTCTTGCAGTCTCCATGTTACAGACAATGAAATTCAAACCATGCCATGGGCTACAATTCTTGAAAAAGTTGTTCTGCTACAAAGGTCTCGACAGCTTTGTGTGGTAAAAGATCTTTCTGCCCATGACATTGTCATGCGGTTGATGCGGAAGGAAAACTATTTGATTGGAATGCTCAACAAAGGTGTATTAGCTTTTCCTATTTCACAGTTGTTTCCAGGCGCTGGTCCTACAGTGAAATCTATTTCTAATGAAATACAGAATCGTGTAATATTGACCAAGACCCTTGAATGGACTTTGAATTGGTGCATCCTTCAGAGTATGTTTGATCGGTATGTTAATTTGTATATAAATGCCTCTTGTTTTAGTTAAGTTTCATCATTTGGTAGATCTGTAATTTGTTCATAATGTATGTAAATTCTTATCATCTATTAGGTAAGAAACACTTCTATTTAGGTTATTTTCCAGAAATGTTGGTTGGTTGAAATGATGAAATGGTCATTTAGATACCTTACAAAATGTTAAGATTTTTGATATCTACATATTTTGGTGGTCTTAAGGGACAATATTTGTGTTATTCTGGACGTTGTTCTCTTAACCCTATATGGTATAGCATTTGGTTGTTTTTCTCATATTGTAACTTTGTGTTTGTATACATTATTGATTTTCCATGTACTTGTATGGTAATCAGTTAGCCAGCTCAGATGACAATGTGATTACAGTATATACTTTCCAATATTTATATTTTTGGTGGTCTTAAGGGACAATATTTGTGTTATTCTGGACGTTGTTCTTTTAACCCTATATGGGATAGCATTTGGTTGTTTTTCTCATATTGTATATTTGTGTTTGTATACATTATTGATTTTCCATTTACTTGTAGGCTAATCAGTTAGCCAGTTCAGATGACAAAGTGATTACAGTATATACTTTCAATATTTATATTCTCCTTTGAACTCTAATTTTTTGTAGAAACTTTTGTGTAAGAAGGGATTTTGTGTCAAATCCAAAGACATTACAAAGGAGGCTTATGGTAGTTGGGTTTGCAATGCTTTTACTCTCTCCGTTTCTTGTCATATTCATGCTAGTGTATCTCTTTCTGAGGCATGCTGAGCAGTTTTATAATCACCCTAGTACTGCATCATCTCGAAGATGGTCAAATCTGTCAAGGTGGATCTTTAGGGAATTCAATGAGGTATTATTCTTCTTGATCGTCATTTTATTGTCTGCCCTTTTGGTGCTTTCATGGTGTTGGAAAGGACCACAAACACTTTGATGTCATACGAGAATTCTCCTAAATGCTTAATCTATTTCATGGAGGCCCTTGAAAGATTCTAATGCATGTATTTCATTCTAGTAACTGAAAAAGATACCATGAGTTGTTTGAAGAGAACCTTTCATATGGATGTAAGTTTTGAAAGTTACCTGAGATTGAATTTGATGTATATGTTTTCTTGTTCTATCTGTGATAAAGGAATTAATTGGTCAAAAGTGGTCTTAATATTATCTATTGATAGGTTGAAAGTGATGCTGCCTAGTTATCATTTTAATCATAAGCACTTGTATCCTTTTGCTTTTATGCTAGAGCTTATTAATAAACATGTGTCGTAGGTGGACCATCTCTTCAAGCACCGGATTAATTGCAGTGTATTGCATGCTTCTGATTATCTCAAGCAATTTCCTTCACCTATCATATCTATAATTGCAAAATTCATCTCTTTTGTATCGGGTGGCTTTGCTGCAATTCTGATCATCATTGCTTTCCTCGAGGAGTCTCTACTTGAGGGCCATGTAATGAATTTCTGTTCATTTTTGCATAATTATACATGATTTCATGATAGTCATTAAAGATCCTTTTAAATGGAAAATATTGCAGATATTTGGGCGGAACTTGTTTTGGTATGCTGCTGTTTTTGGAACTATAACTGCCATTAGCCGGGCCGCCATTACAAATGAGCTTCTGGTCTTGGATGCTGAGGGAGCTATGTCTATGGTGGTTCATCATACTCATTATCTGCCAAAGAGATGGCGTGGCAAAGAAAGTACTGAAACTGTCCGAGTTGAGTTTGCAACCTTATTCCAGGTATAAGGCCTTGGTTTAAAGTTTTCACATTATGATAGACAACCTTATCCGTTCTTTATTTGCATGATAACATAGGTTTGAATTTACTTTGCATGCTCTTATATTTTTTTTATGGTGCAGTATACTGGAATGATGTTACTTGAGGAGATGGCCTCAATTTTCCTCACTCCATACTTGCTTCTGTTTATTGTCCCGAAGGTGATTTCTTGCTTGGAGATAACTTTCTTTAAATGCCATCTAGTATAATGAATTAAGTACTTGGTGTTTTCTTTTTGTAGCGGGTTGATGATATCTTGCTGTTCATTGCTGATTTCACTGTAAATGTTGAAGGTGTTGGCGATGTTTGCAGGTTAGCATGAAAGTTTTCATATTTATCTTTTAAATGTGTATCCCTCATGTCTGGCCATTCTTTTGGGCTTCTTTAATTTTATTTATTTATTAGTGTTGCATTTTCCATGTGTGACTGACAGAACATATTAATATTATATTATGTACCTGATGTTTTCACAGTTTTAGCACCTTTGATTTTCAAAAACATGGAAACAGTCATTATGGTTCCCCTTGCAATGCTCCTCGGAGCTGGAGGAGTTCCCAAGGAAAA